GGCGCCTGGCTGCTGCTGCTCCAGCAAGCCAAGCCCGGAGGAGGTGTGCGCGCTGCGGACCGGCTGTGGGGGCGGAAGCACCGGGGCACCCAGGGGCTGTGCCTGCGCAAAGTCACCGCTCTGCCCGCAGCCCAGCCTCTCCCGGGCTGGAACCCTGCTCAGCGCTTTCCCCGGGTCGCTGCTCACTGCCTGTCCTTTCTGACCCGCAGGATTTCACTCTGTTCCTGTCAGGGAAGAGCCGGGCAGCTCCCCCAGCTGGAGAGGGAGGCACTGGGCCTCCTGCCACTGCCCTTGAGCAGCCCCTGTGCCCTGTCATGGACGCCCCGCCTTCGGTCCTGCTCCTGAGGCCTGATCTGGGCGGTAGAGAGCGCAGGTGCGGGAGCTGGGCACAATCTGTCACCTGTTGGAGCTTTCAGTAAATCGTTGCTGGGCACCTGCTGTGCCCCAGGCTCCGCGGGAGCTCTCGATGGAAGGCGCAGGGTATAGGGGGTGTTTACCCAGGGAGCCACTTCCGTGGGCGGCAGGATGGCCCACAGAAGCTGTGGCAGGGACCTGCGGTAGCCCCAGGTAGGTCGGCATCCCTCTTGGTGCTGGCTCCTGGGATGGGGATGGGATCTTCTAGGCAGAGGCACAGCCCGTGCAAAGGTTCTGGGGCCGGAGGGAATGGGGCAGGCTTGAGTGCCTGCAGAGTGGCCAAAGGAGGGACAGAGAAAGAGGATAAAAAGATGGGCTGATATGATTTTGGAGACTTTAGGGGCCCATTTCTTATCCTGAGAGAAAAGGGGGTGCTTATTTTTGTCACTGAGGTTCAAAGGGCCTCCCCAGGCCCCCCACTGGGAGATGGGGATGGTTATCATTATCATTATTGTTATTATCATTATTATTTGCAGTTCTGGGGATCACTGAGGGCCCAGTGTGTGCAAGGCGAGCTGAGCTCCATCCCAACCCCAGAAGCGTTGCAGCGGGGGTAGATTAGGAGCTTGGGTCAGCACTGTGAGGGCCCTGTCCTCTGAGGAAGGGGCCTCTCCTCTCCTCTGGGCGAGCCAGGGGAGCTCCCACCCAGCCAGGGGTGCGGCCAACTTAGGCGGGGCATTGCGGCCGTAGCCCCTGTTCACACTACTGAAAATGACACCGTATGACTTTGTGGGTATAGAGACAAATTATTAATATTACATTTTAAAATACATTCTTTGATCTAAACGTACACCTTTTCCCCCCGATGTTACAAGAAATTACTTTCTTTTCTCTCACAGTGCTGAGGAATGAACCCAGGGGCTCACACATGCTAGGCAAGGGCTCTCCCACTGAGCTACACCCCAGCTCTTTTTATTTTTTATTTTGAGACAGGTTCTCCCTAAGTTGTTAAGTTGCCTGGGCAGGGCTCAAACTTTTGGTCCTCCTGCCTCAGCCTCCCAAAGTGCTGAGATCACAGGTGTGCACCGCCATGCCCAGTGCGTTCTTTCGATGATATCTTGCCTGGCAGGAGCAGGAAGGGCACCAGCCGGGGCCCTGGGAGGAGGAAGAGGTGTGCGCATGTCTCCAGCACTGCCGCTCTGCCCCTCTCTGCCTGCCCCGTCCTAGTTCCCAGCCTTGGGACTCCTCATGCTGTTGGGGGAAACCCTGAGTCCCCTCAGGCCCTTGCCCACCCTGTGCCACGTGGTGCCACCTTGGCCTTTCCCGGAGCCCCGCTCAGAGCCGCCTCCCTGGGATGGAGCCTGGGCCCCGAAGCCGGGACGTGTGCCATCCATCTCTGCGCACACTGCCCAGCAAAGCCCTGCACACAGGGGGCACTGGATTCAGAGTTTTGTGTAGAGCGTGAGGCAGGGACTGGGTGCCACCTTGTTCCTAGGCCGCCTTTGACCTTTAGTGAAAGTTGCCAAGCACTCGGGTCTGGCTTTCTCCCACTCCCTGGGCAGTGGCCACCTGCCAGTGCCTAACTAGGCCAGGAGCTGGGGCACAGTCTGGGGAGACTGCACCCACCCATTGGCCTGCGAGGACAGCCAGTGCCTGAGCCAGGCGGAGACGGGGCTGGGGACACTGCAGGAGCAGCAGGGCAGGGGCAGGGAAGGGCCTCAGAGGACTGGCAGTGCCTGGTGTCAGAGCACCCCAAGGTCACAGGGCAGTGCTGGGTCAGGGCCAGTGCAGCTCGGTGGGGTGCCGATGTGTCCACAAGCAGAGGTCTCCTCACCTGTGCGGGGCTGGTGAGCAGACCCGGGACAGCTCCCAGGCTGGGCACACTGGTGGAAGCTGCACCCCTCGCAAGCCCATGAGCCTCAAGCCCCTCCCAGCCCCCAGAGCCAGCCCCAGGGCTCACTCAGGTCCCGCAGAATTCACAGGCCCGTGTGAAGGCTCCGCACCGTGGCACTCACCTATGGTTCCTGCTCCTCAGGAGGCCGAGCCAGGAGGATCGCCTGAGCCCAGGACTCCAGGGCCAGCCTGAGTAACAAAACAAGACAAAACAAAAAGTCCACTTCCTGGGGGAGATCTGGGACTGTGGAGTACGGCTGGCTCATGAGGTGCAGCTTGGACTCTGAGCCCAGGGACTACTGCAGCCAGCCCTGCTGGGTCAGCCCCATGTCCCCACCACCAAGTCCCTCCCTGGGGGCATCCGAAGAACAGGGCTGATGACCAGTTGTGACTTTAACCCTCAGCCAAGCTGCAGGGCCTGAGGGAGGGGACCAGGAGGGGAGAACGTGGAAGCCCAAGGTCTGAGAGGGGCTTGGGCTAAGGCAGCTCTGGCCTGGGGACAGGAAGGGCCACCGCTGTCCTCTTCTGGGCAGGAGAGCTAGGCAGCCACCCGAAGGAACAGCCTCATGGTGTCCCTTCCCAGTCCTCCCCAAAGACCCCAGACTCTTACCCTGGGGCAGCCCTGCCGGCTGCAGGTATCCTACAGCCAGACGTCAAAGTCCCCGGGGAGAGGAGGACAGGGACCAGGGGAGAGCGAGCTGAGGAGCTACGTCTGGCCACCAGGAGCTCCCTGTCGCTGGGAGAAGATAACGGGCGAGGTCCTCAGGGCCCTGGCACTGGGCCTCGCCTACTCTTTCCCACCTTGGCAGATGAGGCCACCTGACTGCCCCCCCAGGCCACAGCCAGGTGGGCACCAGGGCAACTCACCCCACTTGCTGTGCCCGGCGAGGCCACACACAGTGGGGCCTGGGGTGCCAGGCAGGTGGGGGCACCAGCCCTGTCTGGCAGGGGCCTGCAGAGTAGTGGGTCAGTGCCCCTCCCCGGCCGCCCCTCCGAGGCTCGCTGCCAACCCATTTGGCACTGGGCCCTCCCGGAGCAGAGCCAGCTCTCGTTTGCAGCCGGTGTTAATTAAGAGAGAGAGGTGCTGGGGGGAGGCGGGGAGGGTTGCAGAGGGCAGCTCCAGCAGCCGCAGTACTGCCGGGGCCTGAGGTGCCCCCTCCTCCCCTGCTGGCCCAGGCAGGCTGTGCCACAGTTCCTCGGCCGCACCCCAAGCCTTCCTCATTATGGTTTGGCTTTGGAGTGAGACAGACCTGATTCCCACCCTGCCACTGCCACCATGGGCCTCCACCTCTCTGGGCCTCGGTCTTCTTCTCCATAAAATGGGACAATAGCCCCTGGCTGATGGCCTTACTGTGATAAGTGGGATCATTTGCCTGAAGTACTCAGTCTGTGCCTGGCCAGCCTCTTGCTCGGTCAGTGGAAAGGTTGAGACCACGTGCAGAGCCAGCACCTCCCAGCCTGCCCAGGACCCCTGCGGTCCCCTCTCCCATTGCTCAGCTCGCCTTTCTCCCACCTCCCTGCGGCCGCCCCCCTCGTTCAGGGAGCGCCCGGCCGCACCTCGCCTCTCCATCTTAATTAGCTGCTTGTATTAATCTCACAAGTAACATGGCAACTTGCAGCCCTGGGTGTTCGGGCTGTGGAATTAATTATTCCCCAAGCGCAGAGCTGTCAGGTCTGGGAGACCAGCCACTCAGAGCCACCCGACCCCACTTAGCAGCGTCTGTGGCTTCTGCACAGAGCCCAGGGCGCAGCCTGCATGTGGGAAGGGCCCTGACCGGTGTGGCCAGGGCGGGGCCGTGAAAGGAGCTGGAGACCCGGCCTGGGAGCCAGAACCTAGGCCTACCTGCGCAGCTCCGGGTCCAGGGCGCGCCACACCCCATCTGGTGAGCCCAGGAGTTCACAGCGCACAGACCTTAACCGGAAGTAGGGGCCCAGGCAGGGCCAAGGGTGAGGATGTCAGCCATGTGGAAAGTGAGAGGGGAGCCAGCTGGACACAGTGGGATGGACAGAGCCGCCTGGGAAAGCGGCGGCCGTCAGCCCAGCACTGCCTGGTGACACCGCCTCTGGTCCATGCCAGAGTCAGGGCCCTCCCTGGGGTCAGGGCCAGAGCTGGGGTGCGCTCGCCCTTCCCCTTCACATGGACCCTGGAAGGAATGGCACTGCTGCCCATTGCACATCTGGGGTAACTGAGGCCCGGGTGCCCCGAGTCACACCGTGCCGGGCCCTGACGCGGCACACCATATGGCTGTCTCTGCCACGCAGCCCCAGCCCTGTTCATGTCCTCACAGCTCCCCTGGCAGCACTTTCCACACTCACAGGTGTGAGCCCGAGGGCAGGGATCAGGCTACCTGCACCCCCATCCCTGCCTCAGGCCAGGCTCTGCTGGGCCTCGTGGGATACCGCGGACCAAAGAATTACGGGCAGCAGGACAAACGGTGGGTGTCCTCCACCGCCACGGCCCCCACAGGCAGCTGCTTCCCTGGTGGTTCCCCTGTGCCCCGTCCCCTCCACCCTACAAACCTCAGGCCCTGAGGAGCGCGAAGAGTCCCCGCCCCTCTCCCACCCCACCCGGTCACCTGGCTCTGCTCCTGCTCCTGCTTCAGGAGCTGGGAGGCCCTGTAGCTAGAGTCTGAGAGCCCAGGGTTCTGGGCCTGCCGGGGGGCAGCTGACAGTCACCCCAAGACCCCGCTCCCCTGCACGGCACCTGCCCCAGCCCCTTCCCTACTGACTGCCTCTCTCTCTCTCTCTTGCAGCCAACAGCTCCCTGCTCGGAGGTGGAGGTGGTGAGTGGACCTTCCTGAATTTGGGGGGCAGAGAGGTTGGTCACATCTTTTTGGCCTGTCCTTGTCGGGGGTTGTTACTGGGTATTGAGCCCAGGGCCTTCACATGGAGCTACATCCCTTGCCCCTTTTCTACTTTTTATTTTGAGACAAGGTCTCACTAAGTCTCTAAGTTGCCCAGGCTGTGCTCAAATTTTTGATCCTCCTGCTTCAGCTTCCCAGAGTGCCAGGATTACAGGTGCGCCCCGCCATGCCTGGCTTTCTGTCCTTTCCCTCCTGCCTGCCCCTATCAGCTCAGCCAGGCCCCACGTGCTGCAACCATAGCCAAAGCTGAAGGCCTGGCTGGCAGGCCTGGCCCCATCAGCACCGGGTGCCCAGGGTGGGCTCCACCCTCTCCTGCCCTCCCAGGGGTCCTGCTCGCTGACTGTAGGGCACTGGGGGCCCAGGTGTGCTGGGAAAAGCCAGTCCTGCCCCTCCTGCCCTGTGGCCCCCCGAAGCGCTGTGTCAACTGGCCTCAGTTTCTCTACCCGTGAGGGTGGTTATTGTCTCCCCTGCCCTGGAGCCTCGAAGGTGGTGCTGCAGCCAGTACAGGGGCTTGTAAAGTCGGGGGAGCCACGTCGCCAGCTGCTAAGCCCCCAAGGACATTCATGTGTTCTCTGTTGTCAGCTGGCCACCCTGAGGGCCGGGCCAACAAGAAGTCAGAGGTCAGCTGGGTTCAGCTGCCAGGTAGGAGGCCAGGGTCAGCAGGAAGTCAGAGGGGGGCATCTGTGACCCCAGCAGCTCCCTGCCAGCCCGCCCAGCCTGGCTACACAGCCCCGGCCCCAGCCCCAGGCCCCAGCCGGCCAGGCAGCCGCTGTCTACACAGGCAGCGGCGGGATGATTGGTGTGCCAAGGGGCAGGGGTTAATGCGCCGTCGGATAAATCCCGGGGGCCGTGTTTACAGTGGCGGTGGCGGGGCCCAGGCCAGGTTTTAAAAGGGGGAAAAATAAAAGGGGCAGTGGAGGTCAGGAATAAATAAGAGCAGCGTTAAGAGCTGTCGGTGACCAGCCAGGACGCAGGATGGGGGTCTGTTTGTGGCTACCGATGTTTTCCTCCCTCCCCCTTCTCCTCTAGCTGTCCCCATGGAGGTCACAGCCACCCAGAAGGGGACTGTGGGCCCACAGATGGGCCGCAGCCTAGGTCCCTCTCCAAACCTGCCTCTCGCCGACACCCGTCACCATAGCCCACCCACAGCTTCGCTCCTCATCCACTTGTTAGCACCCTGTGCTCGAGCGCCCACAGTGCGCTGGGCCCGAGCGGGGCATCAGGACACACGCGCTGGGCACAGGTGGGCCTGGCCCCGCCCTCCGAGCTCACCATGTCACCTACCATGATACAGAGTGATCTGGGGCTGGGGTCACAGGCGCTGGAGCTGGCCCCCGGGCTGGGTCTGAGAGCAGCCTGCAGTGACAGGAGGTGACAGGAGGGATGGGAGTCCCAGGCAAAGCCAGGAAATGAAGGAGAGCATGGGCAGTGTGGGGCTCAGCAGATCAGAGACCTGGGGGAGCTGGGGTTTAGCCCTCCCATTTGAGAGTTTGAGAAGGTGGAGGATCAGAGAGAGGCGTTGGCCTTCTCAGCCTCCAGTCAGCTCGTCCTACCTCTTCTGCTTGATGCCCTCACTTTGCTCAGAGCAAAGTCCTCGCCACGGCCCACGAGGGCCCCCACCAGAGCCCTTCAGACTACCCTCCCTCCCCATGGACTCCCCCCTCACCCACCTCCTTGCAGCTGTAGGAACAGGCTGGGCCCGTGTGTGCCTTGGGGCCTTTGCACCAACTGCCCCTTCCAGGAACGCTCCTCCTACGGATGTTCTTGGGTGTTTCCAACCCTCTCCAAGTCTTTCCTTGAGGCCATCTTCTCAGAGGGGCCCCCAGGCCCTGGCCCTCACCCTGCTCTTGTGTGTTCTCAGAACTGGGTCTGGTGCATACAGTAGGTGCTCGGTGACTGTTGAGTGACTGAGAGAACAACAGGCAAAGGTGGGGGTGCGCTTACAAGGGAAAGGCTTGTGCTGAGGGTGCAGGGCCAGCACTCAAGGCTGTAAGCAGAGCAGGCAGTGGCCCGTAGATGGCCTGGTGACCTTGCTCTGGAGAGCCCAGCACCAGCAGGACCATCATGCCCCTGCCCCGTCCCTCACGGCCTTGGAGGGGTGGGGGAGCCCATGCTCGAGGCCTGCCTGACGTGGAGATGGATGGAGCCGAGACACCCAGAGGAAGTGGGCCCGGAGTCCAGCCTTTTAACGCCTGGGAGATTTATGGCTCCTCCAGCAGCTCCCTGGGGCTGTCACTCTGCTAATGTGATTGGAACAGGTGGAGTGGCGGGGAGGGGCTGTGGTGGGGACGGGACAGGCTGTCGGAGTCTGGGGCCCACCTCTCCTGCCGTCACCTCTGCCACCTGTGTCCCCTGCCGCCTTGTCCCCAGCCTCAACATGGCTGGAGGGGGAGTGTCCCCCAACTCTGCCCAGACCCTGGGATCCCCACGGGGCCCTCAAGGCTCCTTGGCAGGGCTCAAACCCCGCCTGTACCCCATCTCCCCTACTGGCCACCCACTGATCCCCACCCATGCAGTGAACAAGCACTGTCCCTTGGCCACACCCTTGGGGTGACAGCAGCTGCCCCACCCCCACGCAGCTCGCTCACCTTCTTGGCGCTGATCGCTGGGTCACACTTGTGCTTTATGGGTGCTCCTTTCTGCCCATCTCCACCCCTGCCATCCCCTCCCCAAGAAGGGGTCCAGGGCACCACTCTGTGACCACCACTCCGTGAGCACTATGCCAACCAGGGAGCAGGGCCCGGGGATCTCAGCTTCGCCAGCGGCAGCTCTGGCAGCTCAGGGCCCCCACACCAAGTGAGCAGCTGGGGTACATCGTGAGGGGCTGGGTGCAAGCCATGGTGATTCAGGGTAGGTAGAGGAAGCTGCAGCCCCAAGAAGCTGGGCATCCCCAACCTCAGTGACAGCTCCCAGGGACTGCTGGGGCTAAAGGAACTTAATCCTGAGGGTATAGGACTCCTGGGCCTGCCTCACTCTGGGGCTGGGCCCCCACCATGCAAGGCTGAAGTCAACATAGTGTGTCTTGGGGAAACCCCATCCTGATCCAGGCTCTCTCTGAGTTAAAGGGCTCTGCTGAGCCTGGGAATCAAGACTGAGGTCCTTTGAGGGCCTCAGTTTGGTAAGAGGCTTCTCATTAAATAGAACGCTGGATTTGGGCTCTGAAGGCTGAATAGGAGTTCTGCAGGTACAGTAGGATGCAGAGGGCCCCAAGGAGAGATGGCATCTGCTACTGGGAAGCCTAATGTCCAGAGGCAGCTGGTTGATGCCTTCTAGGCCCATTCCTCTCCTACCTCCCTCCTGGAAAGCCTTTTATTGGCGCAATAAAAAAAATTTTAAGAACACTCTCCTATTGTATGGTAAGAAGGGAGGTGGGTCCTAAATCAGACTAGGAATCGACAGGGCCCTGACGCGCGTCTCTCCTGTTTATTAGGACTGAAATGTTTACTTGGCGATAAGGAGTCGGCTTTCTCGGGGAGATTTGTGCGCTCTTTTTCAATTACCCCTCGTCTTTCTCTGCCACTTTTGCACTAAAGGGATAATAAATGTATCGGAGCGTTTCAATTATTCATCTAAATCATGACTGCGCTTGCCACGGCCAAGCTTTAGTGACAGATTAATTCAGGGCCGCCTTCCTCTCCCTGCGTGGCCGCCATCTCTGCTCCGGCCGGGCCAGCGCCTGGTGGACTAGCTCCAGGGCTGGGCAGGGTGGGGTCAGGCAAGTCCCTAGTGAGAGGGTGAGGGCAGGTAGGGTGGCCCCCTGGGATCCGCCCCCAGCCACACCCCCTAGGGCCGGCCCCCCCTCACCTGCTTCGTGGGCAGCATCAGCATCAGGTGTGCCCGGGCTCCCCTCCAGCCCTCCCTGGCCCAGGGCCTTAGCCCCTGCTGCTCCCGTGCCTGAGAGCTCCTGGCCCTCTTGCCACTGCTCCCTCCTGGCCAGTACCTTCTGTTCAGCCAACCCTGCCTCTGTTGACTGAGGGCCTGTGTGTGTGCCCGGGCTCTGCCCGCAGTGCTGGGGTGCAGCAGACCCGGCCTGTGGTGCTGGTGTTGGACTTTCCCTTGTGTGGCGCTGTCTGGCTTCCTCAGAGGCACATGCAGAGCAGAGAGGGCACAGCCTGGGCGAGCGCGGCAGCATCTCTCCCCAGGCCTCACCGAGGCCGCCCTGCCTGTGCCTGCGACCAGCACGCTCCTCTCTCCTCACGCCCACACTGCCGCCCTGCGCCCGGCTGCACCTTCCTCTTTCTCCCTTTCTTTTCTCCTCCTCCTCCCACCTGCAACACCCCTTCCTCTGCTCCTGGACAGGCAGCCGAGGATTAGTGTCCTCCGGGCACCCAGACCAGAGTGAGGCCTTGGCCTTCCTGCCCTGCACTATCTCCTGTCACCCATGTTGGCTTCCCACGGCCCGGGAAAAGCCCCATCCAGCCTGCTGTGCTGAGCTGCGCCCTGACTTTGTGTGGCAGGTAGTGTGGCCTTCGCGGCCCCTGGGCCACTCAAGCGCTCTGGAGCCCGAGTGCGCAGCTGGCTGCCCTGGCTGCGCCGCCTCAGGCTGTGTGCGTCCTGGCCGGGGCTGCAGACTGGGGTTTGTGGGGCACAGGGAGGGCGCATGGAAAGGGAGCAGCGCACAGCCCACAGCATGGAGTCCTCTCCAGACCCCACTGGGCCTTCCTGTCCCCCCCATGTCCACCCTTGCTGAGCCACCAGCCTTCCCTCCCACCTCCTCTCTCCTCACTCAGGGCTCTGCTCTTGCCTCTTCCCCCCCCCCCGCTCCAGGGCCCAGTTCCAGTCCCCTCCTTCCTGTCCAGCTCTACTTCCTCCTCCCAGTTCACCGCTGGGACACTGAGCTGGGTGTCTTCTCCCAGGAGCTGCAGCGCACAGGGCCAAGCACCCTCCGTGATCCAGGCATGGAGTCAGCGGGGGTGGGGAGGAGAGGGCAGCGCGCTGCTCTAAGCACAGGCTGATCTGAGGCGTGGGCGCTGTGCTCCCTGGTACCACAAGGTGTGTGAGCAGGGGCGTGACACGGCCTCCTTGCCACCCTGCCTGGTCACCGTGGACACTGGTGCCAGTACTAACGGCAGACAGACTCTGTGCAGCCTCAGGGCCAGGCAAGTCTGTCCCCTCCCTACAGTGTACCAGGACACACCCTTAGCATCTCCACTTTGCAGATGGGGAAACTGAGGCGCCAAGTCCCTGGTACTGTGATCCCCTGAAGTTGGCCCTCCCTGAGGAGAGGAATGATGGGGCACAGTCCCTGTGGGGACTCTGGCCCACGCCGCATGGCCCCAACACAGGCCAGTAGGCCTGTGGGGTTCGTGCCCTGCCCCCAGCAGGCAAGGTGCCACCAAGCCCCTGCATGCAGCTGCCACAGGGATTTTTAATAACGGGAGTGATTTTTGCATGATGAATGAGGCACTGCCATTGTGTACATAATGAAGCCCTAATGTTTTCAAATCCCCATTTAAGGAGCTGATCTCACCCCGTAATGAATTTCAGATCACATCGTGGAGCTGTCGTCCATCCATCTTCTCCCTGGGGCGCCCACCCGCCTTGGCCCTCGAGGGTGGGGCCTGCTGAGGGTGGGCTCTGCACCCACCCTGGGCCCAGCCCAAGCCTGGCACAGAGCTGGGGCCAGTGTGAGTTTGTTGATTGAATGAGGGACCAGAGGGTGTGGGCCATGGCACAGCGGTTCTGGGGACAGCCTCAGGGCCTGCGAGGCAGAGCACAGCCGGGGTTGGGAGAGAAGTGGACACAGTCCTCCAGCCAGCCTCTGTGGCTGGGCCTGCCCTTGAGGTGGGAGCCTGGGGTGAGCGGCTCAGTGTGTGCCCCGACACTGCTGGGACCCTCTCAGGGACTCAGTGTCCCATCTCCGCTCGAGCATTCAGCACTTCTATCACGCCGGCTGCGGCCAAGCCAAGGCTGGTATGAGCTGTCCCCGAGCAGGGGTCACAAGGCAAGGTGTCCAGGTGCAGACAGGTCCCAAAGCCTCGACCCCTATGTCTCCCCACGGCCTCTCTGATGCGGCCCCTCCTGCCTTCCTTGTTGTCTATGCCTGGTCCAGGCAGGGCGTAGGTCCAGGAGTAGGCCCGGGGCTTCCGAAGGGCCACAGGGCTGGCACACCCTGCCACCCACTGCAAACGGCCGTGAGAGCTGCAAGAGGCCCGAGCTCTTGCCTGTGGAGCCTGTGGCTAAGCCTGGACCTCCCTGTCTGTAAAAGGAGGGTGACGGCGTGATCGAGCACAGGGCACTTTGAAGTCTCTTACTGAATGCCCAGCCCAAGCAAGGAGGTACCAGTTCGTGCTACACAGAGGAGGAAACTGAGGCACAGAGAGAAGAGCATGATTCAGAGACGAGTTGGAAGAACTCAGGTGGGGGTACTTGGCTCTAGGACACTATCTGGCCTGGTGTCTCAGAGGTCTGGGCCTTCTCTACCCTTGGAGGCACCAGGCCCCAGCCAGTTCATTTCAGAGGCGGCACAGCCCAGGACCCTGGGGAGGCCGGCTGGCCTCCGCCCTGCTCTCTTCCCCGCTCTGGGGATCACAGGGGCCCCGGAAGGCTTAGCAGGGATGAGAGCTGCCTAGGCAAGGATCCACAGCCCCCGCTGACTTTGCTGTGTGACTCGGAAAAAGCATCTTTGCCTCTGAGCCTCTGTCTCGGGGCTGGGGATTTAGCTCGGCGGCATAGCGCCTGCCTGGCAAGTGCAAGGCAAGTGCAAGGTCGTGAGTTCAATTCCTGGTAGGGGAAGAAAAACAGAAACAAACAAACAAAGAAGGCAACTTGAAATCTGAGCCTCTGTCTCTACTCCTGTGAAACCAGGGTTACCCTGTGGGCCTCCTTTCAGCTCCGCCTCTGACTATGAGACCGTGGACAAGTTGCTTCCTTCCTCTGGGCCCGTGGGCTCCTCTCCCCTGGGCCACTCTCCAGCCTGTGTCAGGGCTCCCCACGACTCTCTTGAGACCTGGTTCTGAGTCTCGCACTTGCCCAAAGCTACCCGTCATCTTGTGGCCAGGATTTCTGGGAAGAGAAATCCTGGAAGAGGTGCAGAGGGGCCAGGCCCACGGGGTGCTGGAGGCGGAGGCTGGCCAGTGTCCTGCCCTCTGGCAAGGCCCCAGCTGCCCTCTCATTCCCCAGGCCACAGGTTCCTCGTGTTCCTGTAAATAATTAATTAGCCCCTGCTTGCTTGTTTGTTTAGCGTGAGGAATGCTCCCCCACTGAGACGCATTTATTGCTGAATAAATTTAAATATCTAATCTTTCCTTCATGAATATTACAGCACCCTAAATAGCAGCCAGCGAGTCGGCCGCACCTTGGCAATGGCCCCGCTGGAGCCTGCCTGCCTTCAGCCTCTGCACAGGGGCTTGCGGGGCCCTGGGCACCTGGCTTCCTTCCTGCATGTCCTCCCTGGAGAGACAGTGGGTGTAGTGTGGTTGAAGCCCCTCTGTGACCTGGGCAGGTAGGGAGGGGCTGAGCCCAGGGTGAGGCTTGGGCTTTAGGGGAGGGTGTGGCATGGAGGGCAGCGGCATCCAGAGAGGAGCCGGAAGCACACAGCTTGAAGGTGGGAGGCTTCTGCTGGGTGGGACCCTGGGAAGCTGAGCAGCAGGGACAGATCAGGGTCCCAGATGAGAGATGCGGGTGGAGGACGCAGACAGGCTCGGGGGCTGGCAGCGAAGAGGTGCTCACTGAAGTGGGCATGAACCTTCCCAGAGAGTTCAGAAGAGGGGCCAACGCCAGCCAGCCTGGGATCAGGGAAATAGGGTCAGGTGGCCGCCGAGCATGACAGACCCCACACTCCAGCTGTGCGACCTGAGCCATCTCCCTCTCTGTGTCTCAGTTTCTTCTTCCATGAAGGAGGAAAAAGGGCAGCGCTGGGACAGAGGCTCCACCTGCAGTGCCTGGCTGTGGGCTGCACGGGCTGAGGGCGGGAGCGGAGAGCGGAGCTTGAAGGTGGAGGCGGGAGGGCATCTGCTGGCGTGGGTGGTGGCAGGGCTCATCTGGGGCCCAGCAGACAGACATCTGAGAAAGCTGCACCACTCAGGGGGGCTCGGTCTCCCAGGAGAGTCCCCAGCTTTTCTGCTGACTTGGGGTGAGATGGAGCTGGAGGCTTTGGGGGCTTTTGGTGGTGGGGCTGAGTCAACACTAGGAATCTGGGACAGCTCGCCTCCCACTGGACAGCCCCAGGGGCCAGGTCAGGGGACAGGGTGACATCTGGCCTCAGCTGAGACTGGGGGTGGTGGGCAGTATGCAGGGTGGGGGCGCTTTGGGCCAGGACCCCCGCTGCATCAAGGAGGGAGGGAGCCGAAGGCTGTGCGGACAGGAGGGCCAGGCAGGCAGGAGGGTCTGTGTGTGCTGACACGGTCTGTGGGCAGGAGAGGCCAGGGCCTGAGCCCATCTCTGATGGAGAGAACCCCTCCCCCGGGCGCCTGCAGAGCAGTCACTTACCCGGCCCTAGCGCCAGTGTGGAGACGGCTGGGACATCCAGCCCAAAGCCTCCACGCACAGCATTCCAATTCTCTCCATCTCCCTGGTGCCCCCAGGTCAGCCCCAAAGGCCTGGCTGCAGGCCTGTCCACTGCTGCAGGAAACATTAAGTCCCTGAAACACAGATCTCACCCAGCTGCACTTCCGCAGCTCCCCCCACTCAGCCAGCCAAGGTCGCCTGCAGGGCGGGTAGCACTGGGAGCCGACGGGCAGCTGGGTGCCAGGAGACTGCGGACACGCATGCACCCCACCTCCCCTCACTCTGTCCTACACACCACACCCCTGGGCCATAGCCACATGCTCAGAGTAAGGGACAGCTGGCTTCACCTCCACTCCAGTCAAGGACCGGCTTAAGCATTTTACAAGGATGAACTCACTTGGGACTTTGGGTGTAGCTCAGTGGTAGAGCACCTTCTTAGCCTGCACCAGGCCCTTGGTTCTATCCCCAGTAGCACCAAGGTAAAAGCTTCCCACTGCAAGAGGAGGGCAGTGCTTCTGGGCTCAGAGAGGCTGAATGCCTGGCCCTGAGTCACACAGTGGTGGCTGTCAGAGCTGGGATTTGAACTCAGGCTGCCCAGCTCCCCAGCCTGCATTGTCACACTCGATGCTGGGTCCCCAGGAGCACTCTGCTGAGAACCTGCCTTCCCTGCCTGGGTCACTCCCTGAGTTCCTCACATGGCTGCAGCTGCTTTTATCCCTGCAGCAGAAAGCAGGAGGCCAGGGGGCTGGGGGTATGGTCCTGAGCCACCCCCAGGGGTCCCCTGGTGCCTCTGCCCCTCTACACACACTGGGAAGTCACCTGGCGCCAGCTCCAAGCAAAGCTGCAGAATGAGGTCTAATTGGGCCCCACAGGGCACCCAAGGAAGCGGGGCTGGGCCAACTGGTGTCCCTGGGCCAGGCCACTGTGCAGAGGGCTGGAGGGAGGTGGCACAGGAAAAAGGACTTTGGAGGAGGTATGTGCATCTGTCCAATGGGGAATCGGTGGCCCTTCCCAAGGCCTGCACCCCAGCACCAGGCAGCTGTGGCAGGGAGCCTCTGCTCTAGGCCTGTGGCCCCATCAGAGCTACCAGAGAGGGGTCACCTCTGTTCTTCCTCTAGAGGGTCCCCATTATTCAGATGAGACAGTGGGCTCAAGGCCAGAGGAAAGGACTGTCTGGCAGCTGTGAGGAGCCTGCCTGGGCCAGGTCACCTTTGAGCCATCTGCCCATGAGTTGTTTATCTGGGCCTAGGTCCCCAGGGTAGCTCTGGAGACCTAGCGCCCTGCTCAGGTAAACAAGCCTGAGCCTGGCAACAGTTAAGCCGGAGGCCCTAACTAGGCAGCTCATTAAGGAGCAGGGCTCTGGGGTTGCCCGCCCCAGGGCCCTGGGAGAGGCTCCTCCGTGGCAGCCCAGGGAAGCAGCTAGAAGAGGTGGGATCAGGTCCCTTACCAGATCTGCCCCTTGTAACGAGGTGGCCTCAGTTTCTTCGTCTGTAAAATATACCGTATGCTAGCGCTTGATACGGCTGCTTGGGGAGTTCGTTGCCTGGGCAGATGGGTCCACGTGGCGCTCAGGCCTGGGCTGAGGTCTGCTGGCTACGCAGCTATGAAGCCGCAGCCGGAAAGGCAGCTTCGCAGCGCAGGGCCGGCCGTGCAAGAGGAGCAGGGCGTGCTGAGCGCGCCCCCTGCTGGCCGCCCCGCGCTGCCCGCGCCAGGGAGGACTGCAGCCCCTCTGTACCCCGGTTTCCCCAGATGTGAAACCAGGCGAGGGTGATGGGACAGAGTGGTGCCCCGGGAGCCCGAGTACATCCCAGGGAGGGGCTTCTTGGGCCTGGAAGTTCTCAGCAGAGGTGGGGGAATGGGGGTGGGGGAATGGAGGTGGTGGCGGGGGCTCAGCTTTCTGGGTAAAGCGGGGTCGGGGACGCTGGGAACCGCGGCTCACTCCTCTGCCCCACAGTGGACGGCTGCATTCACCGGGCCGCCGGGCCCCTGCTTACCGACGAGTGCCGGACCCTGCAGAACTGCGAGACGGGCCAGGCCAAGATCACGGGCGGCTACCGCCTACCGGCCAAGTGTGAGTCTCGACGCCCGGGCCCAGGGGAAGGCGCGGCGCGGCCCAGCCACAGTCGCAGGCGTACTTGCTAACCACAGGTGCCAGGGCCCTACCCCCAGGGCTCTGGAAGGGGCTGGAGCGCGCGAGGAGCTGCGGGCCGTGCACGTGCGCAGCAGGGCTCCATGTGCATGCAAGGGTGGGCCCTTGTCCCTCCAGCCCCCTCCAGCCCAGGAAGCCGCGGGGACAGAGACAGAGGCGCTCTGACCCCGTGCCCCCCGCAGACGTCATCCACACGGTGGGGCCCATCGCGCACGGAGAGCCCAGCGCCAGCCAGGCTGCCGAGCTCCGCAGCTGCTACCTGAGCAGCCTGGACCTGCTGCTGGAGCACCGGCTCCGCTCGGCGGTGAGGGCGGGCCGAGGGGCGGCGCGGCGCGGCGGACGGGTGCTCGGGGCGCGGAGTGACAATGTCCCTGCCCCTTCTTCCCCGCACAGGCCTTCCCCTGCATCTCCACCGGTGTGTTCGGTGAGTGGGCCCTGGGAGAAGGGCCGGGCCGTTGGCCGGGCCAGGGCGGGCTGGGCAGGAGCTAGACTCAGCGGTCCGGTCCCCACCCCTGCCCCAGGCTACCCCAACGAGGCCGCGGCTGAGGTGGTGCTGACGGCGCTGCGTGAGTGGCTGGAGCAGCACAAGGACAAGGTGGGGCCGGGTTCTTAGCGGGGCAGGCGGGGAGGTGGGCGCACAGCCCTGAGCCCGAGCCCTGAGCGGCAGGTTCGGTGTGACCGCCTCACCCAGGGCGGGAGCGGGTGCGGGCCAGGCAGGCGGGTCCCGTCCAGGCTGACCCGAGCCCGGCACAGGTGGACCGGCTGGTCATCTGCGTCTTTCTCGAGAAGGACGAGGACATCTACCGGCAGCGGCTGCCGCACTACTTCCCCATGGGTAGGTGCCCGCCCCGCCCCGCCCCGCCCCGCCCCGCCAGCCCTGGGCGGTGCTCACTCTCCTCTGCCTTCCAGCCTGAGGCTCCCGCAGCCCAGCCTGAGCAGGACTGGTAAGCAGGGCCAGGCCCCGCGTGGCCGCCTACACTAATCTGGCCACTAACACGGCTCGCCCTTGGCGCTGCGCTCGCCCCCATGCAGAGGGGGCGGCGGAGGGGCAGCCTGGGAGGCTACCGAAGCCGTGGCTCCTCTAACCTCTCTGTTCTGCCCTCAGATCCCTGTGGGCCTGCAGGACCCCACTCCCAGCTCTGAGAAGTCCCTGAAGCCTGCAGCTTGGCAAGCTGGGCCACTCCAGCTTCTCCTCAGTGTCCTGCCCCACGGGAGCCTCCAAATAAACATCGCGGTGCACTTCCCACTGGCTGAGCTCTGACTAACCCCCTGGGACGGGCGCTTGGGCTTTAGGGACTGGCCAGAGGTCTGGGTGAACCAGGAGGGTGGAGGCACAGCCAGACAGCCAGGGGCAGCAGCACTCGACATTTATTGAGGGCCTGCCCCCAAGGAGCAACTGGAGCCCTGCATGTGCTGGGGTGGGGGGTGGGCTGGGGGTGAGGGTAAAGGCAATCGCCAGGCGGTGCACAGCCAAGCTGGCCCAAGCAAAGGGGTGCAAAGCAGGCACAGACAGGGGCCTCGGGCAGGGGAAGAAGGGAAACTGGTGTGCTCTGCCTACACCTGAGGACAAAAGCCTCCCCTCCCATACCAGGTGCCTCCACCTGGGCCCAGCTCCCCTCCTGCCCTGAGCCAGCCCCATCCCACAGGCCCTGTCCTCCCAGGACTCCCCGTGTAGACCCCTGGCTGGGGGCAGGAAGCTAGGGGCCAGGGCATGGCCAGGACAGCTGGGCAGAGGTAGGCCTACAGGGGGACCTCAAATGTGGGGAGCCTGGGGCCCACTGAGGAGGCAGGGGGAGGCTTTAAAGACAGAACTCCAAGTCTCAGGACAGGTCCCCCCAGTGACCTCAAAAGTGCTCCTACTGGGAAAGCTTAGGACTGACAGGTAGAAAACTAGGGGAACCCACCAAGGGGGAAGGAGCAGCCAGGCATACGGCAGCCAGCAAGCAGGCAGCAGCAGAGCAGGGAAATGGACACACACGGCTCACTACCAGCTTCCCCTTTAATAAAACATGGAAGGTTATGTGACAGGAAAGGCAGGAGTGAATATGACCATTTACAACCACAAAAAACCTCTGTACATGTCTAGCGCCTGGCAGAGGGGAGGCAGGCGGGGAGGCAGCAGTGGCCGGCCAGCCTTATTTGTAGAGGATATCGTAGTGTCCTGGCCGGTAGAGAAGGTAGACCTTGGGCTCGGAGCCCTCGGGGAAGACGTGCGGGTTGGTGGTGCCGCCCTCGCCGCGGTCCATGTACTCCACCTGTATGGACACGCTGAGGGCCTGCGCCAGTGCGATGATGTGGATGTGGTCGCTCTCTTTGCACATGGGCTCCACCTCCTGTGGCACAGGCGCGGATCAGACCCACCGCCTGCTGCCCCACCACCACCACCACCCCGGGCAAGGGAAGAGGGAGGGGCCCGGGCAGCACCTGCTGACAGAACTCCTTGACAGTCCGCCCGCCCTCGATGAAGTGCTCGAAGAACTTGCTCTCGCGCTGCAGGTAGCCCGAGGTGAGGAGCCGCAGGTATACCACCAGGTAGTCCGAGGTGCTCTGGTCATTGAATGAGGCCAGCAGGTCGGCTACAGAGGTCTGCTTCTCCACCTGCTCGATCAGGTCCATGAACTGCCCACAGAGGGATGAAGGCCATGGTGAGGGAGGCGCAGGGCTGGACCCACCCGGCCAGCACCCCTCCCCCCAGCCAGAGCCAGGCCTGGCTCACCGTGTTGTGGAAATCCTCAATGGTGAACTCAGTGAAGCCCTGGGACACCAAGTCCTCTTTGCTCTTGGCAGACACAGCCTTGAACCTGTGGGTGGGAGGCCAGCATGGGCTCCTCAACCAGCACTGTCTGGTCTCGGACAAGATCACCCCGATTCACACACAAGCCCCAGGCAAGAGCCCAGCAGACTGGCTGACATAAGAGGGAGGAAGGAGCCCCACTTCCGCCCGCCCTCCTCACCGCTGCAGCTCCTTGCTGTCATCCAGCAGCGCCTCCAAGTGGGAGAATCCAAAAGCACGATAGAAGCAGTTTCCATCAGGCCTGGTCTTCCGGATGTAGGAGTACTTTTTGTGGAGGTCCTGTGGAGAGACAGCCCGCCCCCAGCTCCTCAACATCAGGCCAGAACTCGACAAAGGTCACACCATGGCAAGCGGCAGCTGCCACTGGCTGACCCATGCTCCTGACTCCAGCTGTGCTGATGGGAGTTGCCTGCCACCCACTTCCCAGAGTGGCCCTCAAAAGCCCCAGGAAGCTGTGCACTGACATACAAACTGGCTGCCTAAGTGACCAAAGTAGTCACCAGCCACTCTGGTCACTGCCACTGGGCTATAGGCTGTTTGCTTATAAAAATGGGCAGGGGTTGGGGTGCAGCTCAGTGGCAGACTGCTTGCCTAGCATGCGCCAGACCCTGATTCAATTCCCAGCACAGGAAAAACAGTAACAATAAAAAACGGGTGAATCTGTCCATGACCAGTGTGGCTTATCCAGTCTAACCCCAGAGAGTGGCAGGGGAGGTCAGGGCAGGGCCAGTGGCAGCTCCACCTCCAGCCAGACAGGAGGTCCCCCCAGCCCCGGCGCGCCCCAGCCCTCTCTCGCAGTGCCATTTCCAGCCCTTCCCACCCTCCTTCCCAAACTACACAGACCTTCTGCTTCTATCTCCCCACGCGCTGCCTGGCAAACAGGCCTCCCCCATCCCCGGAGTGGGCACCACCCCCATAATGACCTTTCCTTTCACACTGAGAACTTCCTCCGCCTGAGGGGTGCACTGCCCTCAGCCTTTCCTCCCAATCTGCCCCTCGGCCATGCCTGTTGCCTAAGCTGTTCCTCTACTTTGTACCAGCCCGTCCTCTCCCTTGGGCTCAAGGACATCAGTCTAGTAAGTGTGCCCTCCCCATTCTCAACTTATCTCTCCCTACTAGTTTAGACTACTTGCATATAAACAATCAGCTCAGGTCTTGCTGTAAAAAGTGAAAAAATTCACCTGGGTATGGTGTTGCACGCCTATCATCTCAGCACTTTGGGAGGCTGAGGCAGGAGGATCATAAATTCAAACCCAGCCTGGGCAATTTAGCAAGACCCTCAAAATAAAAAATTTTTTAAAAGGGCCAGGGATTAGCTCAGTGTGAAGGACCTGGGTTCACTACCTAGTACCCAAAGGCAAAAACAAGCAAAACTCAGAGCTGGGACATAACTCAGCAGTAGAGCTCTTATTTAACAAGTAGAAAGCCCCAAGCTTGATCCTCAATACCACAACCAAAAAAAAAAAAGAAAAAGAAAAAGAAAAATCTTCACATACTGCTCCAGCTATCACCCAATACTCTTCTCTGCAGCAAAACTGTTTCTGGTCTCCTCTGTAGAAGGCTACTGCTACAGCCATAGTCACAGAGGCCCTCCTAGCTTCGAGGATCAAAGCCAGCCCTCCCCAGCCTGGCCCCTCAGCAGAACTGCTGCTGCACGCCCTCTGCGTGGCTACTTCTCCTGCTGGGCTGCGCAGCCCCATCCCCTCTATGTCCGCCACCATAGCCACTGCACATTTGCACCCTTCCTCAGATGCCATGGGCACCTGCCGGGAGACAGCATGGCACACACTCAGGTTCAGTGCCCACCTGCTACGTGCACACAAGCCTGTGGGTTGTGCACCAGGTGCCTGCTCGGCCCTACTCAGGCCTGGGACAGCTTCCACCTTGGTGACATCAGTGTTGAGAATTTAAGTGACCCCAGTGTCTATCTTCACCCAAAGTGCAGTCCTGAGCTCTGCTTTGGCCCCCACACCTCTCAGCACTGGCCAGCCAAACCCAGCAGCTGCTCCTCACTCGGGTTTCCGTGGCATCGCCCAACCTGAGGGTGCTGCTGCCTTCCCCTTCCCTCTCCCTCCAGCTTCTTCCTTTCACCCAGCTCACACCCACCTGCCCCTCACCACCTAGTTCTCCCTGTCTCCTGGGCCTTGGAGTGTTTGCACCCGGGCAGTAAGACAGTAAGAGCATATCTCTCTCTCTCTCTCTCTCTCTCTCTGTCTCTCTGTCTGTCTGTCTGTCTCTCTGTCTCTCTCTCTCTCACACACACACACACACACACACACACACACACGCACACACACTCTCGCACCAGCCAGCCCCTCTCCCCACCATGCCACACTGTCCTCTTCAGGAGCACTCCCTTATCAGCTTTTCTGGTTTTTTTGTCTTTTTGAGACAGGGTCTCACTATGCAGTTCAGGCTGGCCTTGAGCTCACTTTGTAGCCCAGGCTGGTCTCAAACTCCTAACAATCCTCCTGCCTCAGCCTCCCAAGTGCTGGTATCACAGCTGGTATTACAGATGTGTGCCACCACACCCAGCAGCCTTACCAGCTTCTGTTCATAACTTAAACACCACCTATTCAGGAAGGTTTCACCTCCCACCCTTTTTTTTTTTCCATTCTTTTTTTTTTCTGAGACAGGGTCTTGCTCTGTAGTCTAGGCTGGCAATCCTCCTGCCTCAGCCCTCTGAGTGCTGGGATTACACAAGTGTGCCTTCACTGTCAGCTTCCACTCAATTTAAAACTGCAATCCCTTCCACTCCCAGGCTCCTTTTCTCACTTTACTTCTGTCTACAGCAGTACCACCTCCTGACATATCAGCCTTTTTAGCTCCCTTTTGGCTTATGTCTTTTTTTTTTTTTTGGTACCAGGAATCAAACTCAGGACTTCATGCTTGCCAGGCAGGCACTGTGTCACTGAGCTAGATCCCCAGCCCTGGCTTGTCATGCACTCTGTGCTGTAAGCTTTGAGATCAGGAGTTCTGTCAGTTTTAGGCATCACTCCATCCTGAGTACCTCACCAGCATATGGACCATAGTCCATGCTCGAAATGTTAAAATGACCAACACAGTCACTTCAAAGAAACTGAAATATTGCTACCACAGTCACTCTGAGTGCATGCTCTGCCAAGCACGCTGCAGAGTGCTAATGCCCTTCACCCTACAAATCCTCACGAGGCCTGTTCCTCAGAGCTGCTCGGGCTCTGGGGTTACCCTGTCTCACTGCCCAGGGAAGTAAGGTGGGCTCGGGCACAGCAGATAGAATGGGGCACTACAGCCACTAAGGCAGATTCCTGCAGGTGGCCAGCTCTGGATGCTCAGACATTTGCTGACCAACTCAGTGGGAAGAACCCAAGGACCATCTTGCTGGCCTACCATGACAAGGCCTGGAAACCTGCTGCAAAGAACAGGAGGAGCCTACTGCTTCCTGCACCCTCACTGCAGCACTGAGATCAGCAGCTCAGCGGCACCTCCCACCCCCAACCCAGCTCCACACCTGCCATGAACCAGGGGACACTTCTGGCCAGAGACAAGCAGAGGCTCCAAGTTCAGCGCATGGCTCCAGGCCGCACAGCTGGAGTATGGAGGCCTCCAGTCATCCCAGATCTACTGGGCTTCAAAGCTGATGCCCTCAACTGCCCTCGGGCCTGCTGTGAAAATCCCAAACACCCTGAGCAAAGGTGAGAGCAGACCATAGATCTGGGCCACAGGAGGGCTGTCTGGCCCACACATTTCTTCCCGCAGTGCTGGTATGGAAGCAGGGCCTGGACAATGCCGGGCAAGCGCTCTACCAATGAGCACACCTGGCCCCCAGCCTGACACAATGCTAAATGTGAATTAGCTGCCAACTAGTAAAAGTCAGGAATTTCATTATTTCCGGCTACTCTGGCAAAAATGGAGTGATAACACGGCTAATCCCTACTGCCATCTGGTTGCTTCTGAACTGTGGTGCCATCCTCATCTACCACCTGACCTCCTTGCAGTTTCAATCATTGGGTTACCTGTCAGGGCACTGGAAGGAAGGCCCCTCCTCCAGGCAGAAGGGTCTAAGCATCTCCGATCTTTAAGAGGAAGGTAGGAAGAGTAACATTTTCAACCAGGAGTATGGTGCATGTGTAATCCCAGCTACCCAGGAGGCTGAGGCAGGAAGATCACAAATTCAAGGCTACCCTGGGCAACTTAATAAGACCATCTCTCAGAATTAAATTTAAAAGGCCAGTGCTGTGGTGTACACTTGTAATCCCTGTGCTCTGGGAGGCTGAGGCAGAAGCACTGCAAGTCTGAGCCCAAGTCGGGTGACTTAGCTAGCTAGATTGCTAGCTAGCTAGCTATTCAGTTGACACAGGGTCTCACTATGCAATTCAGGCCCGCCTTGAGCTCACTTTGTAGCCCAGGCTGGTCTTGAACTTGCAATGATCCTCGTGCCTCAGCCTCCAGAGTCCTGGGATTACAGGCATGTGCCACCATGCCCAGCTTATTTTTTTAAAAAAGGGGGCTGGGATGAGGATGAGGGCCTGCAGATGTAGTTCAGTACAAAGGCCCTGGGTTCAATTCCTAGTACTGTGCCAAAATAATATTTTCTGAATCCCCACACTGTGCCTCCTGGATGCTGTCTGCACACCCACTGTCACACTGTGGCTTCTGCTTAGCAGACTGAGAGGTGGGAGGTCCCAGGCCTCAGCTTAAGGGGCCCATGCAGGGGCTGTGGGTCCTCTTCCCCACCACTGCCTGCCCTCCACTGTGGGACCTATCCCTGTACAACCCCTGTGGTCCCCCAGACCAGCCTGCTCAGCCCCTGCCCAGCCCACACCTGGCCCCACCCACATAAGCATTGCCTCCCTCACCTTGGCAGCCACCTTTCAGAGAGGTGTTGTCACTGTCCCTATTCTAGAGATGAGGGCACCACGGCTCAGACGCTGAAGGACCTGCCAAGGAGACAGCTGCTAAGTAGCAGTCTGGATCCGAACTGAGGCCTTCTGGAGTCCAGAGTCTGCATAATTCAAGAACTAGCAATGACAGGTGTCCCCAACACTCTTACTGCCAGAGACAGGCCTGGCAGGCCCGAGGCCAGGCTCCCACCTTGATCTTCTGTTGGTAAATGTTGTCGTCTTCAGCATACTCCTTGTACAGGACTGAAAGCTCCAGCCGCTCCGACACCAGAGGGTTCTGCACAGCAATCTGCAGGAGGCATGAACTCATCATGCTCTGGCAAGACACGGAATGACCCACGCCCAACAGCCAGATGCCTACAAAAGGGGTACTAGGCCCGTCACCCCATGACACAGTCACCTCCCACCCCCTCCGTACACTATCAGTTGCATTATCTACGGAGGAGTGACTTCCAAAGTACAGACAGAAAATAGGCTTCAGGCCTGGCTGCGGCTTCCCCTAGATGCAGATGCTGGCTATGGCTCCCTCACCCTCTTTAGCTCTCACCTCTTGCTGAATTCGGTCCTGCTGAGCCATGATAGCTTCATCATAAGCCAGACAATTAACACCTAGAAAAAAGGAGAATGCCGAGGGTTACTGTGGGGTCTGGCTACGTCCACTGCAAGCAGCTGGGCCAGGGACAAACAGTTCAGGAGGAGAGCAGGTCCGGAGTCTGAATGTGTATGTCTTACACCCTGCCCCACCCACTGTGCAATCTTGGCAAAGTCTTCCCCCTTCTGAGCTTCATTTTCTCACCATTAAAATGAGAGGGTAGGGAAGTGCAGTGACACACTTGTAGTTCCAGCTACGCACGAGGCTGAGGCAGAAGGATCACTTGAGCCCAGGAGTTTGAGACCACCCCTGAGCAATATTGTGAGACCCCGTCTCAAAAAAAAAAAAAAGAAAAGAAAAGAAAAGAAAAGGGTTGAGGGTGTAGCTCAGGGACAAAGTATGAATTTGCCTAACGTGTTGCACAGGACCTGGGTCACACACACACACACAAAGTGCATTTTCCCGGCTCTGACACTCCCTTCCTCTGTGCGTCAGTCTGGGAATGCTTTGGGGTAGGGCGGGGTCATCTCTTGGGGAAAGTAAGATGAGGAGATGGATTCCTGGGCTGATGAGAACATCCTGTGCACTGCACTTTGGAGATCTCACCCTTCACCTTCCAGCTGTCTTGGGCATTGTTAATGATGTCCACTTTGCAAATAACAAAACAAATACTGACAGAGAAAGTAACCTGCCCAAGGTCAAACTAGTAAGGAGCTGTGGTCAAACCCAGATTTATAGCCAGGCAAGTAGGTGCACACCCCAGCACTCAGGAGGCTGAGGCAGAAGTGCTTCAACAGAGCAAGACCCTATCTTAAAAAAATAAAAATAAAAAAAACTTCTCAGATTTGTCTGATTCCAATCTTTGATTTTCACCACACCACTCCTGTTATCTCACTGCAGAGCCCGTTCTTCACCTGCAAAATGGGGATAACACCACTGCACTGAACTAGCATGGTACTCATGATAGTAAGTGGACTAAGAGTCCATTAGAATCACCAAGTTGGACTAAGTCTTAAGACCCTACCCTGGGCAAGCCATTGGGGAGGGAGCAAAAGACCTAAATTCTAGTCCTCATGAGGTTTTTTGTTTTTGTTTTTTTGACACAGGACTTTGCTATGTTGCCCAGGCTGGCCATAAACTCACAAGCCTTCTGCCTTGGCCTCCCCTGAGCTGGGATTACAGGTGTGTGCCACCACACTGAGCCTGTCTCTTTCACGTATGTATGTATCTATCTACCTACCTGATCTAGATGAGAATATATGTGATCCTGAACAAGTCCCTTAAGGGTGCTTGGGTTTCCCTCCTTAGAGTGGGGTGTGTGTGCGGAATGACTTTTAAGGTCAGCCCTCTTAGGCCCTGACCATCCCAGTACCCCTGCTAAGCCTCAATCCTATGCCCTACAACAGTGCTGTCTCACCCACCCAGGTGACCTACTCAGTCCCCAGAGCCCAACTCGGGCAGAAAAGGACAGCAAGAGGTAGATGAAAGATTCATCTCAGGGTTTAAAAAACAATGCCTAGGCAGCTAGCAACGGGTTGCCAGGCCAAAATGGGGAGCTCCTGGAAAAGGAGGAAAGCACCGGAAAAGGAGGTCGCAGCCCCTCGGGCAGACAACGGCAGCACCTCCAACTCAGGCCTCCGAGGCATCCCGAGCCGCCGGGAGGATGCAGTCTGCTGGGCCTGACCTCGGCCTCCTCCTGACAGCGAGGCGCGAGGCGGCAGGACTCTGGGCGCCGCGAGTGTGGCCGGCGCCGAGAGCCCGGGCGCGGGGAGGAGCGGCCCAGGCCCCGCCCCGCGAGTGCCCGGGAACAGCCGCGGCCTCGGCTGCCCCGCCCGCCCGGGGGTCGCGGCGGCCGCGGCTCTTTCCATTGTGAGGGGGAGGGGAGGCGGCGGAGGCGTGAAGGGGCCGTCCGCACGCTTCGCTCCTTTCTGGCTACCCTGCCTGCCCGACCTCCTTGCGAACAGCTGACAGGCCTCGCCCCCACTAGCCCGGGACGGACATCGCCCCTCCGTCTGTACCTTCGGAGTCGCTGCCCAGCGGCTCCTGCTTCTGCTGCTGAGGTTCCTCCGCCGCCATCTTTAAACAGCGCCGCACTGCCGACCGCTTCCGGGTTACTAAGTGCCCTCCTCCCGGAAGTGAGCCCATCCTCGCAGCCCCTCCTTGGCAACGCCCTTGGCAACGGGATACCCTCAGCAGTGGTAAACTGACAGGTGCCCAGCGCTATGGCAGTCACAGGCCTGTGTGCCTGAGGCTCTGTGAGAGACAGGCTCGCTTCAACCCGAACGACTGTTGCTGGGCTTCAAATTCCTAGGCTCCCAAAGGTCCCAGTAGTGATAAAAAACCTCCTAGAGCCAATTCTGTTTTCTGTTCACTGGAGTTTGAAACGTGGGCGGTGCTATTGAGATTAGTAGGAAGATTCCACACTCGTTGCTCCCAATTGTACCTGCAGTGCAGAACATGGGGCCAGCAGACAGGAAATGGTGCCACCATCCTGACATCCCTGGGTGTCCTGACCTCAGCCTTGCTGCTTTTTACCCCCTACTCCTGAGGTTTGTGGTCCAGCAGGAAAAACATCCCTCTTGGTGTCAAGACCAAAGCCTTAGACATAACTTTGGGCCCTGTGTCCTAGTAGTGAAAAAACAGACTCCTTTTAAAAAGCAGTGCTGGGGATGTAGCTCAGTGGTAAAGTACCCCTGAGTTTGACTACCCAATACCTCCAAAAAATAAAAAAGACAAAGCCATGAGTGTCAAAGGTGCTGTTGTCAGTGAACCTTCTTGTGACCCTAGTCCTTCAGCACTCAAGGAGGCTGAGCCTGAGCTCCATTCAGGTCCCTCAACAGGGAAGGGCAGGCACTGCAACAGGACTGAACGTTTTGGTTGGTCTCCACCAGTACCGGAGCAGGTGTGGCTGAGCTCCCCACATAGCCTACCTTGGCCTTTTCACAGCAAGGGTACAAATGGCAAATCTGTGGCCCAGCACCATGGCAGATGACTATTGGCTCATTGGGCCTTTGGGTTGCTTGCTTCCAAATTCAAGAAAACAAAAGGCCCATCATATGACTATCAAACGGTTCATTCCTTTCCTCTATTTTAACAGTGAAATTAATATCTGCTAATGAGATGTGCAATCAGCAGGAGAGAATGGGTATTACCTAATGAGGGGCAAAGACAGCTAATGACAGACATGATTTCTATCTGGCCTTTTAAATCTTGAAAAGCACTATAAAACATTCCATCCCGGGCCCCCTTACCCGGATTAAGGAGTCTACATAGGGTGGCTGGGGTTGGGACTAAGGCAGAACAGGGAACAGCTGCTGTGGAGATGAAAGGGGGTCCATGTGAGGCTTTGATGTCCACACCAAGGTAGTGACTCTCTCACTCCCAGGGCCTGGGGTTTGACTGATCCAAACCCTCACAGGGCCTGTAAATGGGGTGCTCTCTCTCTACTACTGCCCAGTGCCACCCCCGTTTCCATTTTGTCGGACAGAATGGAAAGGACATAGCCAGAGGGAAGCTTCGGCTCTGAATCCAGCCCCAGGATGGCCAACTGTTGCCTGGCTTTTTTCTTTTCTTTTTTTTTTTTTTTGAGATAGGATCTCACTGTGCAGTTCAGGCTGGCCTTGAGCTCACTTTGTAGCCCAGACTGGTCTCGAACTCACAACAATCCTCCTGCCTCAGCCTCCCAATTGCTGGTATTACGGACATGCGCCACCACGCCTGGCTTAATAACTGTTCTTTTATCCCCATTCCATCCATCCTGTTATGATTTCCATATTAGGGCTTTGATTCTCTATCCTCAAACATTTAAAACCCACCTGCAAATTTGCCAAGAGTCAGAATTGGACAACTCCAGGCATCTCTGCCTCCCAGTCTGCCACCCCATACAACTAGTCACGCGCTGTTGGCCCTGGCTGTAGAGGGCTTGTAGCAAAATAGCACATGCTGGGTATGGTGATGCATACCTGTAATCCCAGCACTCAGAAGGCTGTGAGTTTGAAGTCAGACTGGGCTACCTAGAGAATTCAAGGCCAGCCTAAGCCACACAGCAAGATCCTGTCTAAAAAAAAAAAAGGCAGCATAAGTGGGTGGGTTCAGGCTTCTTGCTGATAATAGTCACAAAAAAATGACAGGCAAAAGCTATAGAACCAGCATGTTACAAGTGCCTCCTCACACACTGTCCTGCTGACTGGAAGCCTGACATCAATGTCCATAGGATTCTGTTGGGGTAGGAGAAAGGAAGAGGGCCCACACTGAGACCAAAGGCTGAGACCTCAGCTACAGAGGAAGTTTACAGAGCTGCTGGCTCTGGAGCCACCCAGCCACTTCTATCCGAGGTAAGGGTGTGAGCAGACTGGGTGAAAGTGACAAGGACCTGGCACCAGTGCCACCACAGCTATAATCCTCACAGGAGCCATGGTCTCCAAAGCTGGGCCAAAGTGCTCCTTTCCAGGGCAGGCTTGGGAGGCAGACAGACACCTACAAGGCAGGAGTAGGGTACACCTGCCTTCCAGATGACTCTGGAGCTGCTGCTGTTTTACACACCATGGCCTGTAGCTAACCAGCCAGCCAAAAAACTGGTGTCTTGGGAGGCTGTGGCTGCTGCAGAGGCCAGGCTGATAGAGCTGAGCAGGGCAGTCCCCTGGGTTGTGACAGTTGGTCACCTGTAGGACTCAGGCCACCTGAGGCAGGAAGCAAGCAGAGGAGGGGCAAGGCTAACACAGGGAACTTCCCCCTTAAAACCCACACACACTGTTAGGGTACTCATGCTCCTGTAAATGACTTACAGTCCGTTCACTAGATGTTGCTGAAGGTCCAATCAGTTGGTGCCACCCACATCCAAGGGCCAATGCATTACTTATCGCCAGTGTAACAAATCACCACAGACTCAATGGTTTAAAACACATTCATTGTCTTATAGCTGTGGAAATCAGAAGTCTGGGTTTCACTGGACTAGTCAAGTGCAGGCAGGCTGCATTCTTCTCCGAGAACCCAAGGGAGAACCTGCTTCCCACTCCGCACATTGGCAGAATTGTGTCTACTACAGCTATGGTTCCGATAGCCTTGCTGGCTGTAAGTGGAGGCGGGATTTCTAGCTTCTAGAAGCCACTGCATTCCTTGGCTCATGGCCTACTTCCTTCATCCTCAAAGACAGCAAGAACAAGCCAGGTCCCTGGAAGGTCAGAGCTGGTGATCACACTGGGCCTCTTCAAATAATCCAGAATAATCTCCTGTGTCAAGGTCCTTAGCCTTAATGACATCTGCAAGATTGCCTTTGCCAAGAAAGATAACCTCTTCCCAAATGCCAGAGATTACAGCTGCAGCACATTCTGCCCGCCACATTATCTTCATTTTGTAATCCTAAAAACCGAGGCTCAGAGTGACTAGAGGGCAGCCTGAGGTCATACCTTACATGGTTGGGCAGCCTCCCTCCGAGCCTGCCGTCGCCAGGTCCACTGGTGCTGATGCTACAGTGTGCCATCTCAGCAGCCTCCCTGCCCAGCAGGCACATTGGGGGCATCCAGCCAGGGGAGCATGCTGTTTGGGGCATGAAGCTTTGTTTCTTGTATAGAGTTGTTCCGGGCCCTGACTTGGTTGGGGACGAGAGGGCAGCGGAAGGTGACTAGATTTCAGGCCACACTGAGGCCTGAGGTTGGTGTTCAAATGTGACAGGTCATCGGAACTCTAAGCCCTCCTTCCGGTCTTGAAGCCTGTCACCCCCACCTCATCCACATGTGCTACCAGGCCTGCCAGGTGTGGGAGAAAATGCGCTGCAGGGGCCGCAGGGCTCACTGAGTGTTCTCGGACCAAGGTCTGAAGGACTTGCCTGTAGCCACTGGCTTCCCACCAGCGGGGACAGTGACTCAAAACAGAGGTTTTGGGGGGTGAGAACAGTTTCCTGGGGACGAGGCACTGTCACTCATGCCTTTGGGTTCTAGGGACACAAAAGTGGGAGATAAATCCTTGGCAGGGCGGTGGAGTTACCATAGAAACTCACAGATAACTCTTCCACTGCCACATCTTTGCTGTGCGGCAGGCACCCCCACGGCTCTGAGATCTATACATAATCTGTGCTCACAGCCAGAGGAAAGCAAGCCCAAGGCAGCCTGGGGCCAGGCAGCTCAAACCTTTCCTCAGAAGTAGAGACAGGTCCAAATAGCCTGTGGCCCACTCAGCTCCCCACCACAGGGCATCTCCCCACAGGGAGTCAGGGAGCAAGAAAGGGGGTGACCCTGAGGTATGAGAGGAGGCAGCTCTGCTACATAATGGCGCTAGAAAGGCACCTACCGGTGGCAGATGGAAGCCCCTTGCTCAGCACCCCAGCCTGCCCTGGGCCAGCCCTGCAGATCCGACATAAGCACTCCCTCTCTCTCCCTGCCCAGCTTCTAACCTGGCACACTTGATGGTATTCTCCAACCCCTCTGGATGATCAGCTTAAGCAGTTCCCTCAAGCCTAGCTTCTCCACAGCCCTCCCATAAACCCCGCTCCTTGGGCTGAACTGTGGCCCCTCTAGGGAGACAGCCAAGGAGAGGCCCTGAGTCCCTCTCCACCCTCAGGAAAAACGCCACAGGCCATGCCTGAGCTTGCTGCACCCAGATCCCAGAGCCATCCCGGGGTACCACATGGAAAGGCCAGAAACGACCACGGGGGACAAGCTCCACCTGCTGCTTCCGCAAAAAGCAGCCAGCCAAACAGTGTCTGTTGGACACCTGGGGCCTGAAGCCGACCACGCCCCTCAGCACTTGCCTGCCACCTTGTCCACTGTTCCAGCCCCAGGCATCCGGGCAGCCTTAGATACTGGGGAATACTGAACCTACTTCTGCTCGGCAATTAACCAAGTCACTCAGCAAAGACAAAAGGGAGAGATGAGGACATGTCATCCTCCAGGGGAGGCTGGCAGGTCAGGGTGCTGTTCCTCCCAGACCATGAGGGCTCTGGCTCGGCGTGCAGCACTTCACACATACAGCCGTACTCAAAAGACCCCTGAATACCACTGGTACAAATCACCAAGGAGATGCAAATTCCCCAGTCAAGAAGGGGAGGCTGGGCCGGGGATATAGCTCAGTGGCACCACGCCTGCCTGGCAAGTACGTCCTGAGTTCGATTCCTGGTACCAAAAAATAATTTTTTTTTTTTTCTCCTATCGAGAATCGAACTCATGACCTTGCACTTGCCAGGCAGGCACTGTGCTGCTGAGCTAAATCCCCAGCCCCCGAAAAAATAAAAAATTAAAAAGAAAAAAAAAAGGGGAGGCAGCCGGGCATTGTGGCACATGCCTGTAATCCCAGCACTCAGGAGGCTGAGGCAGGAGGATCGTTGCAAGTCTGAGACCAGCCTGGGCTACAAAGTGAGCTCAAGACCAGCCTGAACTGCACAGCGAGACCCTGTCTCAAAAAGACAAAAAAAAAAAAAAGGGCAGGGGGAGGCAAGCTGAGCATGGTGGCACAAGCCTATAATCCCAACACTCACTCAGGAGGCTGAGGCAGGGAAATACTAAGTTCCAGCCTGGCCTGCACAACTTAAAGAGACTAAAAAGTAAAAAGGGATGAAAATGTAGCTGCATAAAAGGGCCTGAATTCGGGGCTGGGGATTTAGCTCAGCGGCAAAGCGCCTGCCTGGCAAGCGCAAGGTCGTGAGTTCGGTTCCTGGTACCAGAGAAAAACCAAAAACCAAAAAAACAAACAAACAAACAAAAGGGCCTGAATTCAATTCTCAGCACCATGGCAGGGAGGGGAAAGCCAACTGCCTGGCAAGTGCAAGGTCGTGAGTCCCGGTACCAGAAAAAAAAAATAAAAAAGCCAAGAAGAGCTGAGTATTAGCTCAGTGGTGTTGACTGCTTGCCTAGCATGAATGAGATCCTGAGGTCAATCCCTAGCACCACGAAAACATTTTTAAAAAGAAAAAAAAAGCAAGATACTACTTACAAAGTACCCCACCTCCTAACCAGGAAAGTCGGTACCTAAAACAGACCTCCAGAGAAAACAAGGAATGCTGGGTTGGCTTCTAGTTGCAGAACCAGCCCTGTGGGATAAAACATGCACACAGACATATATCACTGAGCTTGGCATAGCCATGGGAGCAGGAGAATATGCACAAGAAAGGCTGCCCAAAGCCAGGCATGGTGATGCAATCCTGTAATCCCAGCACTTGGGAAGCTGAGACAGAAGGATCACCCTTGAGTTTGAGGCTAGCCTGGGCTACGTGAGTTGAAGGCCAGCCTAAACTGCATAGCAAGACCTGTCCCAAAACACTGAAAAGAAAAGCTGTCCAATGTAAACATGGTTTATTTTTTCCAAGAGCTCCAACCCTTTTCACTTTTTGAGACAGGGTCTCACTAAGCTGCCCAAGCTGGGCTCAAATTTCCCACCCTCCTGCCTCAGCCTCCCAAGTAGCTGGAATTATAGGTATGTGCCACCAGGTGGCTCCAAAACCATTTAAATGCAGGAAGCATGCAAGGAGTTTAGCTGAGGCACACACAACCTACCACAGGTGCCAGGACCTGCAGCCAACCTGGCTTTCCTCTCTACCCCTCCACCCCAGAATCATCCTTAGCTCACTTGTGGAAACAAGAAACCAGGCAGGAGGCACAGTGAGTTTTGGAACCAAGGTTTAAATAGATTTTATTGTTACAGGTGGGGGGGCACCAAGCAGGGCCAATGTATGTGGTCCCAGACATCACCGTGAAGATATCGAGAGGTCATGATTGCAGAAAAGCTGACTGGAATTGAACGACATGATCCAGGGGAGCTGTCTGGAATGCAGGAGACATGATCTGGACGGACAGCAGGGTGGTCAGGGAAAGGGGAGGACATCCCCCTTCATTCTCGCTTCTTGTAGCTCTCCAGGTGTGACAGGACCCAGCCCGCCGGCAGGAGGAAACACAGGAAGCAGGAGGTAAGCCCAATGACGACATCCTACACAGAGCACAAGGAAGGATTCCCCAGTGTAAGTACCCCCAGGGGGCCACAGTGTAACATCCCCACATTAAAGGAAACCCACATGGTAGAGCAGGTGCCTAGCACACCTAACCTCTGGGTTCTATCTCCTGCACCAAAACAATAAAACCCACACTTTAAGAAGAGGGGCCAGGGATATAGCTCAGTGGTACAAGTGCCTGCCTGGCAAGTGCAAGGTCCTGAGTTTGATTCCCGGTACCAAAAAACAAACAAACAAGAAAACCCACAATCAAACAAACAAAAAAAAGAGAAAGGCTTTTACAAATGGGAGGACCTGGATTCAGTCCCCAGCAGTGCAGAAACAACAAAACCAAAGCAGAAAAGGAGCTCAAGGTGTAGCTCCTTTTTGTAGATACAAAAAAAAAAAAAAAAAAAAAAAAATCAGCTGGGCTTGGGGTCACACCCCTGTAATCCCAGCACTTAGGAGGCTAAGGCAAGACAATCACCGAGTTCAAGGCCAGCCTGGGCTACAAAGTAAGACCCTGTCACACACACACACAAAGGAGGGGACATTATAGAGCCAAGATCCATCGCAGCCTTGATGTAGCAGTCAGTTACAGGGATGGGGACAAGCACCTGGAATGTGGGGCAGCCTAGTGTACAACTGAGGCAGCAATCACATGATAAAGGACAACAAGGATTTAAACCTATTTTCAAACTGGTCTGTTGAGACTTGGAAATCCTGTACAGGTCAATAACTCTAAAACCAGATCTCCCTTCATCTGAAAGTCTCTCCCTCACAGAAGGTGATGGCGTACACCTCTAATTTCAACAACTCTGGAGGCTGAGGCAGGACGACAGCAAGTTCAAGGCCAGCCAGAGCAACTTAGCGTGAGCCACAACTTAGCATGAGCCTATTAAAAATCAAAAAAGGGAGCTGGGCACAGTGGCACACACCTTTAATCCCAGCTCTTGGGAGGCTGAGGGAGGAGGACTGTGTTCAAGGACAGCCTGAGATACTTAGTAAGTTCAAGGCCAGCTGAACTATATAGTGAGACCCTGTCTCCAAAACAAACAAAAAACTTTTTTTTTTTTTTTTTTGCACTTAGGAGGCTAAGGCAAGAGGATCACCAAGTTCAAGTTCAAGGGCTACAAAGCAAGACCCTGTCTCACACACACACACACACACACACACACACACACACGAAGGAGGGGACATTATAGAACCAAGGTCCATCGGGGATTGAACTCACTACCTCACACTTGCCAGGCAGGCGCTTGCGCCACTGAGCTATATCCCCAGCCCCTACAAACAAAAAACTTTTAAAAACCACCAAAACCAGGGTCAGGGATATAGCTCAGCAGCACAGCGCCTACCTGGCAAGCACAAGGTCCTGAGCTTGATTCCCAGTACCAAAAACAAAACAAAATAAAAACCAACAAAACCAACAAACAAGAAATAAAGGGTTGGACATACAGCTCAGTACAAAGGCCCTGGGTTCAATCCCCAGTACTGTAAAAAAAATAAATAAATAAGAAAGATAATAAAAACTGCAAGCAGTGACACATGCTTGTAATTCAGCAGTTTTGGAGGCTGAGCCAAGAGGGCTAGAAATTCAAGTCCCACCCATGCACCTTAGCAAGACTCTGCCAGAAAATAATAAAAAAGAGTTGGGGATGCAGCTTATACAAAGGCTCTGGGTTCAATCCCCAGTACCAGTAAAAATAATAATTTTGAAAAGGGCTAGGGCTATAATTAAATTGTAGAGCACTTGCCTACATGCAGAAGGCCCTAGGTTCAATTCCAAACATCACAAAAACAAAACAAAAAGACCTTTCTCTGCCCACTCCTCCAGCACTAGTCAACCTTTGGAGCCAGGGATGACTTTTTACAGCTAATACTATGTTCCTCCCAAGTACTAGTTAAGATCACAGAGTAAGTTAAAGAAACCAGCCTCGCCTTCAAATTCTCACCTTAAGTGTGCTCCTAAATCTCACCTTGTTACCATGAAATAGAGATAACCACACTTCTCCTCAGGGTCACTGAGAGGCCTGAGATCAGCACAGCACTGCCAGCAGGGTGCCAACCACCCACCAGGAACTTGGTAAAGCAAATGGAAATTGTCGTGGTTATCATTATCTTTCTGTGTTGCAGCGCTGGGGATCAAACCCAGGGCGTCATGTGCGCAAAGCATGTACTCTACCACTAAGCTACACTTCGGAGCTCCTTTTCTGCTTTGGTTTTGTTGTTTCTGCACTGCTGGGGACTGAATTCAGGTCCTCCCATTTGTGCTAAGCAAAGGCTCTACCACTAAGTTAAACCCCAACCTTTTTTTCTTTTGGTGGTACTGGGAATTGAGCCCTGGAGTCATCACACTGAGCTCCATCCTCAGCCCTGTTTAGTTTTTGAGACAAGACTCTCTCTAAGTTCTCCAGGCTGGTGTCTCCTCCTGCCTCTGCCTCTTCAATAAATGGGCCTGAATAAATGGGATTACAGTACCAGCCTCAGCCTCCTTCACACCTTTGCAAACAGGCAGGTGCTGTACCTGACTTATCATCGTTTCCTCAGTCACAGAGCTCTCTGGCTCTGCTCCTAACCCAAAGCCCACGAACCTGGATTCTTATGATCTGCATTCACGGTCAAGCTCTGCCACTGAGGCAGATCTATAAAAGCTCCAAATTAGTCAGAGTTGTCATTAAAAGCTAAACGCTCTTCCACCTGTGAGAATCACAAGGACCCGTGGGGTCTTCTTGCCCCCTCCCTACTACTCCTAAGCAGCGGTAAGCACCACTCTCGTCGCCCGCCGTCGTCAGCCATCCCCTAGTGAAGGGTAAGCCACAGGGCAGGAGACCTCGGGCTGCGCGCTCGGGGTCGCACGGCGAGTAAGCGTGCCACCCGAAGCCTGGGGCTTTGGGGACGAATGTGACGCAGTCCCCTGGCCCGCGCCCTCCAGGAAGGCCCACAGCAACACCGCTGCCCCCGCTACGCTGCATCTCCGGAGGTGCAGGGCGCTCTCCGGGCCGTCCAGCGTCCGGCGCCGCGCCTGTCCCAGCCCGGCCCGGCCCGGTCCTCACCATGGTCCCGAGCGGGTCCTGCGGCGGCTTGGAATGCACCTGGGCACGCGGCACTGGGAGCCTCCGGGCCGGGCCTGTCAGACCCCTCAGCAGCAGCGGCGTCAAGAACGACATAACGGCACGGTCTAGACCACCAACCGCGGCCAGCCGCAGCCCAAGGTCAAGAGGGAAAGATGGCTGCGCCCGCCGGAAGTTCAGGAGCTAGGCAGGCCAGGAAACTGGGGCCCGGAAGTCTCTCGGAAACGACGCAAAGATACGTCTCCCGCCCGCTCCTGGCTGGTTCGGGCGCGTTCTTCAAGACAGCCAATCGAAGCCGTCCTACCTGAGCAAGGCGTAGAGGGGCGTTCTTTTGGTTATGTCCCGCCTTCAAAGCGACCTGTCTCCGTGAGTGACATCTATTCTACCCAGTCATATAACCGAGAAGTATAAGGGTAGTTGTTCTCTCCTCTCTCCTCAGAGGTCTCTCCACCAGGACTTCCTTCGTTTCTGATCTGCACCGTTGCCTCTAACTTCATAGCTGAACTCCCTTCACCTGTTACACGCGTTCCAGTTCCAGTCTCCATGCATGGCAGCCAACTTCCGTTCTCCTTCCCTCCCTTCCTTCGTCCTTTCTTTTTGAGACAGTCCCAGGCTGGCCTTGAATTCACTGTCTGTCGCCGAGGATAGCCTGGAACTCAGAGCGATCCTGCCTCAGCCTCTTGAGTGCTGGGATTACAGGCCTTGTGGCCCCATGCCCAGCTTTTTCCTATCTTTCTTTACCCACCTCTCCCCTCCTCCCATCTTGCTTTTCTAACTAATATCTGATCTAGTCAGTCACTTTCACTGCCTCCCTATTGCTTTCTACACGAGTTCCAGTTCCTGGATATCACTTTCCAGCCAGAATTGGAGGGAACAGCTCTGGAAAGCTGGGTGACCTGCTCAAGGTCATGCAGCCAAAGGCTGCCGAACAGGGCAAGTCTCTCTGCTCCAAAAACTTCTTTTCAAGGTTGGGGGTCAACTCCAGGCTTCCAGGACGCTAGGCAAGTGTTTTATCACTGAAGTATGCTCCGGTCTAACACTTATACTTTCAACCACCACATAAGATGCTGCAGTTTCCAGAAGCTCGAGTCCTTTGGGTTTTTGTTTTTGCTAGCTAAGTTTAGCTATGTATAGTAATTCAGGCTGGCCTCAAACTCACAGTAATCCTCCTACCTAAGCCTCACAAGTGCTGGGATTGCAGGTATGCACCACCTTCCCCAGCCAGAAGCTCCAATTTTTTTTTTTCCTTCTGTCTTTTTTTAGGGGAGCGGGGGTGTTCTGGTACAGTGAATCGAACTCACGACCTCGCGCTTGCCAGGCAGGCACTGTGCCGCTGAGCTAAATCCCCAGCCCCTGGCCTTGAGCTTACTTTATAGCCCAGGCTGGCCTCGAATTCGCAATGACCCTCCTGCCTCAGCCTCCCGAGTACTGGGATTATAGGCGTGTGCCACCACGTCCAGCCAGAAGTTCCAGTTTTGACACTGAGGTCAAAGACTTTGGCAAGAGGAGGGGTGTGGTGTGCTGGCAACAGACTGGGAAACAGGAGCTTTGAAAGAGAAACCTCAGCCCCTGGGGGCTGGATCACACAAAGGTGGCAATGGGCCCAGGGTCCTTGAAGGCAAACTGTACCTCAATTTTCTCTGGAGAGATGTTCCCAAGTCTCAAGCTAACCTGGCTCCCTCTTCACGCCCCCACCCACCTTGTCTACCCCATTTGGAAGTATTTTGATGTCTAGCAGTCTTAACCAGGGCCACCCCACAGCCACCAGGCCCCATGCTCTTGCCTTATCCTGGACCCTGGCAAATAGCCCAGAACAGATGCACAGTACTGGGAGGCAGGTGCCAGCTGCCTGCCACTGGGAGAAAGGGGTGAGAGGACCTGCTGTTGCCCTGCTCGGCTTGTCTGGTGCACTGAAATAACGGAGTAACTCCCAGGTGACAGCAAGTAAGGCAACTGGCCTGGGTATACTTTAGAGCTCCTTGGACCAATGCCCAAAGGGTTCAGGAGGGGTCATGGAAGGAGGTCTAAATCTAACACTGACTGGCTGCATGACTTTGAGAATATCCCTTTCCCTATCTGAACCTTACCTTTCCCTACCTGCAAAACGGGGGCATTAATGAAAAGTCCAGCAAGAAAACCTGGAAGAAAGCACTGGTTTCAATGGAAGAAAAGGGCTGGTTTGGGGACTGGGCATGGTGGCACACTCCTATAATTCCAGTACACTGGCTGAAGCAAGAGATTCCAAGTCAAGCCTAGCTTCAACTTAGTGAGACCCTGTCTTAACTACAAAATAAAAACAAAGGGATGGGGGACGGGGACATTGCTCAGTGTGAAGGCCTTGCATTCACTCCCCAGTAACACACACACACACACACACACACACACACACACACACACGGTGGTTTGGGAAACCAAGCTGGCACAGAATGCAGGATCCTGGAGGGGTATTTGCTCTTCCCAGGGTACAGCAGCTGTCACCAGGCACCAGACACCCAGGGATAACCAGAAGGCAGCTGTTAGGGCGGAGCAACATGGGAAGCACTGGTACAGGGTGGGGGTAGGGTGGGGAGCTGCCCCCTGCAGGCCCAGCTGTCAGGCTGGCAGACACAGGAGGGAACGGCATGGCCACTAGGGACTTGACCTGGGGCCTGGGGGTCACCCACAGAACCTGCAGTAGCTAACCCCTTCTAACCCACAACCAGCTGCCAGCTGCACTGAGGACAAGATCACGTCACATGTACCAATGGCTCCTACCTGGTGGAAGGCTGGCTTCACAAGCGACCAAGACTCTCCAATGAGGGCTGGCCCCCAGCCCACCAGCACCTGACCTGGATGTGACCACACAGTCAGACCTTTCTGCCTTCTGTGCCCCCAGTCCAATCCCTGATGACTTCTCTCTGCCTCTAGTCCCCTGACCTCTTCAGATTCCCCCAGTCCAGGGCAAACACCTGGTCTTACCACCAGACTCAGAAGGCCCTAATGCTTTGTGGCCCACACAGCCTTGGACCCTGTGCTCCTCTACACAGACTCCAACTTTCCCCACCACTTGAGCCAACATTTAGGCCACGGGACCACCACAGAAGTTATTCCAGCTCCCAGGTCTGAAGGTCCAGCAAAACTCCAGAGCGGCATCACTCACAAGCCCCGCCACAAAGGCTGTCCCACAGCACTCAGCGTGTGGAAACATCACTAAATGTGCTACATCTGTGTTACAATTGGTGAAGGGTGCAGGGTCCTGGCAGGCCTGTGTCTAGGCCACCCCCAGGGTAACTGCAACAGTACCCCCCAGGGCCAGAGCAAGACTGCAGCAATGCAGGATCTGGGGCTCTGGCCCCCTACCACCTTTCCCAGACTCAATTTCCCTGGAATGCAGGGGGGGCCAGGGCCACTGCAGCCAGCTCCAGGTCTGTATCAGCACTTGGCTCCTGGCTGTCACCTCCCATCTATCCTAGTAGCAAACGGCCCCATCCCTCAGGAAGTTCAGGCCCTGGTCCATTCCTCAGGGCTTTTTCCTTCCACCACTTGTGAGTTGGCCTGCACAAAGAGCTATCCTGTGCTGTGACCCTGTTGGTCCACAGCAGATCTTCCCTCATCTTAATGTAAAGAAGACCCCACCGCAGAGGTCTCTGAAGCCAATGAAGGTTTACAGGTCCCCCTTGTGCAAACACAGGCAGAACCTAAAAATGTCAATGGACTTCACAACCAATAACATCCTGTTGAGGACACCACCATGTTCCCTGCACTGCCAGATATTAAGCCTGGCTCCTAGCACTGTGGAGATGGGGGTGCTGCCTCTGCTGAGAAGGCACCTCAGAGGGAAGAGGCTTTCGTCAGGCACCTGCTCTGTCTCACCCACCTCATGAATTCCAAGTTATTTAAAATGGGACCCTGCCTACCCTGGTTCAAATCTTGGCTCTGCCACTCACTACTGGGACTGTGGACAAGTTCCTTTTCCCTCTTACCTTTACACTGTGAGCAGCACCACTGCCTATGGGACAGGCAAGTTAGCATTCCATGTGAGCCACTTGCTGTTTAGAGACAAAGTCTCACTATGTACTCCGGGCTGGCCTCTGACTCACAATCCTCCTGTCTTAGCAAGGAGGGCTGGGACAACAAATGTCTGCCATCACACCCGGTGAGAGCAATCTTTTTAGAGTCAAAGAATATTACGAGTAACTGAAGAAAGTAAAAGGGAGGAACCTCTCATCCAATCCCCATACATGGGCACTGGAATTTATATTTAGCTGCAGATGCCAAATGTCACAATGCCTGGCTTGGGACTTGTTTCAGGATGCAAAGAGGGCCCTCAGAAGAACATCTCTGACCTCCCCCTATAACTTGTGGGAAATCCCCATAAACACATACACTGGGTCTTCATTCCCATCTCTGGCTGTTCACCTCACACTGAGACTTCCTTTGGAGGAAGGGGTGTAGGCCAGCACAGCCACTGCCTCTCAGCCTTTAGGCAGAAGGCTTGTTACCCATGGCACCCCAGCATCTGAAGAAAGTGTCTTTTATTTGTGATGTACAAATACAACCAATGCAAAAAAGAGATCACTTTTTCCCTTTGATTCCAATGGTAACGAGTGGTTAAAGAAAAAATATATGTATATCAAGAAATTTATCTTCCAAATTTTCTTTAAAAAAGGGGGTCATATACACTTTTTTTTTTTTTTTAGGTTTTTTGAGACAGGGTCTCAAGATATAACCCACGCTGGCCTCAAACTCACAGTAATCTTCCTACCTCAGCTTCCCAAGGGGCTGAGATTATAGGTGTGCACCACCATGCCCAGCCAGTCATATACACACTTGACACTAACAAAAAAACCTGAAATAGGAGGGACATAACTAGGAAAAAAAAAATTTTAACACGTCCCAAACAAAGAAAACAAAAAAGCCTGGTACAAAAAGTGTTTCTCAAAACCAAGCCCCAGAGGAGGTGGAGACACACGAGTAGGCCCAACAGCCATGAGGGTGGTCGGCTGGTCTCAATCAGCACTCCTCCCACCAAGCTGTGGCCTCCTGAGGAGCCCTTCAGGGAGGGTGCCCTGCAAAGGCTGGGGGTGCAAGGCAAGGCACCCAGTACCTCATCTACCAATGGGCTTGGTGCCAGGTGTCCAACAACTGGAAGGAGAAAACACACATTGAACTCATCTTACATGAGACTTACACAGGGGGTTCCTTTTGGTCCCCTTGAATGGGAGGTATCAGAAATCTATGATTTAAGACAATAAATATTTATCATTTTTGTGTTTTCTGAGACAGGGATTAGAGGAAAAACTCTTCTAAACATGCGCCTGTTGTTTCATGACTCTTGGAAGGAGAATACCAGTCTCCTCCCACTAACTCCAACTCTCATCAAGGGTAAAAACCCTGGAGCCAGCAGGTGAGGCAAAGGTAAACTTATTCCAGTGTAAAGCTGTATGGCCCTCTCTCAGAAGTGCCCAGTCCCACTGCTGGTACTCAAGAGCAACGCAGGGTGCTCAGTGGAGGCCAGACTGGGTAAGAGAGGCTCCTGCAAAGGCAGGAAGCTGGATGAGAAGCATAGACCACTCTGGGGAGCTGTCAGGACAGGCCACCTGAGTTGGGCCAGAGGGTGGGGGTGAGCAGGCTCAGAGGTCAGGGCACCAACAGACCTCATGAGAGCAACTGCACAAAGGCTAGAATCCTCACAACACTCCCTGAAGCAGAGCTCAGGCATGTTCAAGGGGAAATGTCAGGTGTTTTCACCTAGATAAGGAGAAAGGATTTAGTTTTTCTTCCTTGAAAGAGGAACATGGCCTAAAAATCAGGATGCGAGTAAGTTCTGAGCCTACATCCTCTTCACTCTCTGAGAAGAGGAAGCCCATCTCCTCCTTCTGCTCCAGCCTGCTGCCAAAGAGAGACACCAAAGAAAGAAAAGCAGCTGTGTGGGCCACCGACAGACACTCTTGCTGCAGCCTGAGCTGTGCCCCAAATGGGCCAGAACAGTGGCACCAGTGCCTCATTGAGGCCACAAGGGGCAAGGCTGGGGAGTGCAGGCAGAGGGGCCTGCTGCTGGCTGGGGGCTCTCTGAAGAGGCAGAGTGGTAGAGGGTTGCCCCACCTTCAGAGAAGTATCAGCACCAAGAGGTGACAGAAAATGGCATTAACTGTACCACGAAAAACTGGTACTTCAGGGGAAGAAGAGGGGTTCCCTGATGTTACTCCCCATTGAGATTAAGAACAGAGGTATCTAGGGTGGAAGCAAGAGGCTGGGGAGAAACAGTAATAGGGGGCAATGCAAGGGAACAGAAGGACCTCTGGCTTTCTTGAGTGAAAAGCTCGAGTCACTCCCATGAGATCTAGAAGTTTAGCTAAGAGTGCAAATGCCCAGAGAAGCAGTCATCCCCATGGTAGGCCTGTTGGCACACCTGTTCCTGGTCCTCTTAGCCCTTCTCACTGATAGCAATGGAGAGGCAGCCTTCTCCTCAGAGTTGGCCAGTCCCGATACAACTCCACTCCAGGGACCCATAAAAACAGCTAGAAAGAACTTCTCTGTACCCTGGCATCAAAGGCCTACACGGTCTCTATGACAGTGCTCCATCCACAAGAGCAGAGTTTCTCAAAAGCCTTGGTTTGTGCCCAGAATTTAAGAGTCCAATCCTCTTTGGGGACCAACAGACCCCAGATCAGGATTCCAGGATTTTGACAAGGTGGATATAAACATTCCATTTGTCCAAGGCAGGGGTGTGGGAAGCCTGTTGGGAATCCAGCTGCAGAGAATTTGAGGGCCCAAGAGCCAAGTGACAAGACAGCTGCTGTGAGGATAAGCTTCATGGTGCGGCCTCCAACTCTTCCTGTAGCACCCTCTTCTCAGCACTCATTCCTGGCATTCTGCTCTTCCAGGAGAAAGAAGGAGAGGCGGCATGGACCACTCCTCCCCAGGTTCTGAGCTCTCAGGTTGCCACCTGTAACATGCAAGGCTGAGGAGACCACAGCTCTGAGAGCACCTGGAAGGTAGTGTGAGACCAGAGTAGAGGACAGGCCTTAGGAGAGAGTGTTGCGGCTTGCAAATGGTTCTGAGAGTTCAGTGGCAGCAGCCACCACAGTGCCCGCCTGCATGGGAATGCTGGCTGTCCCCAAACTTCGTCTTCCGGCTCAGGATCTCATAGGAACAGTCCTCCCCACAGCAACCAGACATGCTCGGGGAAGAATCATCAATTTCAAATCTGCAAGGCAGGCAGGGGAAAAGGTGTTGGTCACAGGCAGCTAAATGCTTTCCTTCGGGCCTGAAAACTTTTCCAATAGCTACACTGACGGGATGAGGGCAAGGGGACCAAGTTAGAGGATGCTGCCATACCATCTCACCAATCCCAAATCCCCAAGGACCATTGGACTTCGAGCTCAAGTACCAAGATGAGGGCCGAGACCAGCAAAATAGCATAGGGGCAGCACTTCCTACCACCCAGAAAAACCACTCCAGAGATGAGCTCCTTACTGTAGCGCTTCTCGGAAGAACTGATAGGCGCCATGATTGTGTTTAAATACTGTTAACATCACCTTCTTCATCTGTGTGCTGGAAGAAAGCAGAGCGAGCACCTTTTAGACAAATAGAGACTGCGGCTATGCGTCCTCCCCCTCCTGTCCCTGCCACTACTTCTCATTCACCACAAGTGGTGTTCCCAAGTCCCGCCTCCAGCCAGCAGAGGCCTTTGGCACCAAACTGCTCAGTGTTCCCCACCATTACAGGCTGGTCTGATTGGATGAACTTCAGGGATCTTCTCTACCTCCTCTCTGCAGCCCCTTCACTTACGTATAGTGGATTCCTCTCCCTATGACTAAGCAAACAAGGTCTGAAGCAGTCCTTACCTGTTGGCCATGAGCTGCAGGATCTGTATGAGGAACTTTCCCAGGCCTTTCCGCCGCACTTTGCTTTCCAACTGCACTTCATAGCTAGGTAAACAAAGCAGGGGGCTGAGAGCGCAGGGTGGGGTACAGAGGCTGCAAAGCCCAGCAGAGCATACTGCAGCCCCTGGCAGCCCACAGACCCAGACAGGCACAGTGGGCTGTCACCTGTTCTCCCTCCCCTTTCAGCTCACCCCAAGCCGAGGCTCCTACCAGTAGAGGACTTCATCCCCGCACTCCACATCAAACCGGAAGTGAGAAAAGGCAACAGGGACAGAACTGTTTTCCCAAGCGATAAGGTACCAAGCTCGGTCATCTGTCATTTCCTCCCGTTTCTCTCGGTCCTTCCAGCCCCACTCACTTTGCTCATACCTGGGGAGTTTGGGGGCAGTCAGAACAGGAAAACCTCAAAGGACTAGAAAGCCAGCTGGTGAGCCAGGCTTTCTTGTGCTCTTGCTCCCCTTTGGTTGAGCCATGCTTACATGCTTTGCATATTCGTTTTGGTCAGGTCAAACGCCCAATCCACAGTGGCTGGCTCCAGTCCAGACACTCGCTTACATTCAATGGAGACATTCAACCTAAGAAGAGGACAGGGAGGCATAAGAAGCTGGTGGCTCCCTTCAGGGTACCACCACTCCTCCCTGAAAAATCTGACTAGAGGCACATCTGGTCTGCTACTTCTTGGGAAAAGCCCGGCCTTCTCAGACAAGACTGGAGAAGGTGCCTGTGCAGAAATGGATCCTTCTGGGTTGAGATTAACACCTGCCATCACCACCACCACCACCGGGCCCACGTCCTGCCCTTCTTATGTTGTCCTTACCAGACTCAGCACTTCTGTCAACTTGTCTTCTCTACTTCCTCTTTATTCTTTTTCTACCTGTTTGTATTTTACTATAAACACTTTTGCCTTTTGTGTTTCTTAGTTCCTGCTCGTAGGCATTTTTTTTTCTTTTATTTTTTTGAGTCAGAATCTTGCTATGTAGCTCAGACTGGCCTTGAACTCACTATATAACTCAGGTTGGCCTTGAACTTGCAGCAATCCTCCTGCCTCAGCCTCCTGGGTGCTGGGGCTAGAGGTGTGTGCCACCACGCCTGGTGTCTTAGGCATTTTCTGTCATTCTAATTGCTGAATTTAGAGTCCAGAGTACTAACCACTAAATCATGAAATGTCACTGCTGCTTCAATTTCTGTAGTATCTTTGGGCTCCCACGGGACTTCCTCCCCCTTATCTACCAATCTTGCTTTCAAAACCAGCGGGTGAATGACCTCCGGCTCTTCAAGACTACAGCTCAGGGATGGGAGTTTAGGTCACTGGTAGAGTATCTGCCCAGCATGCACAATGTCCTGGCTTCAAGTCCCAGTATACCAAAAGCAATTTTTAAAAGCCACCAGGTGTGGTGGCACACACCTGTAATTCTAGCACTTGGGAGGCTGAGCCAGGAAGATCACCATGAGTTCAAGGCCAGTCTGGGCTACACAGTAAGTTCAAGGCAAGCCTGAACTACATAGCAAGACCCTGTCTCAAAAACAAAACAAACAAACAAAAAAAAAAACGGAAAAGGGGGGATAAAAAAACGAAGAAAGCTAAAAACAAACACACAAACAAAAAAAACACCCAAAGAAAAACACCCAAAACACCTCCCCAGAAGTCCCACCTTTGTCTTCTCTCAGGACTCAATGGGTATTCTAAGCTGATTAAACAAGGTAAAACAAGCCAGGCGTGGTGGTGTACACCTGTAATCCCAGCACTGCGGAGGCTGAGGCAGGAGGATCGTTGCAAGTTCGAGACCAGCCTGGGCTACAAAGTGAGCTTCAAGGCCAGCCTGAACTGTATAGTGAGACCTTGTCTCAAAAAAAGACAAAAAAATAAAATAAAATAAAATAAAATAAAATAAAATAAAATAAACAAGGTAGAACAGGGCCTAACCCACCACTCTTGTTTTCCTAAACAAACGTTGTAGGTAGCCAGGGATATAGCTCAGTGGCATAAGTGCCTGCATGGCAAGTGCAAGGTCCTGAGTTTGATTCCAGGTACCAAAAAAAAATGTTGTAGGTGTTCAGGCATCTGCTTCTAAAGGAAATTCAAGTGAGATACAGTTAAACTCACAGGCCAATTTGTGAAATCATTCTCCAGGTAACACCACATTCAGAAAGAAATGAAGTCAGTAACGCTGAGCCCCTGAAGAGCTCCTGCATCAGTATCTTTCAGTGGCCTTTGATGTCACCCTCAGAGGATGTTTCCAGTAGGATCTGCTGTCACTCTGCTGACTGGCACACCATTTGAGCTCAAATGCTCATCCTTGTAAATGGAAAATTTCCTGCCCTGGAAGAACTTTTCTTTCTTTCTTTTTTCTTGTCTTTTTGAGACAAGGTCTCACTATGCAGTTCAGGCTGGCCTTGAGCTCACTTTGTAGCATAGGCTGGTCTTGAACTCGCCACTATCCTCCTGCCTCAGCCTCCCAAGTGCTTGGATTACAGGTGTGCACTACCACACCCGGCATTAAATTTCCTTCCCATCTTTTTTTTTTTTGGTACCAGAAATTGAATTCAGGACCTTGTGCTTGCCAAGCAGACGCTGTGCCACTGAGATATATCCCCGGCCCTGGAAGAACCTTTCTTTACAAGAATCAAGCACATAACAAGCAGAACTGCCCAAACATATCACTGTATCTATCTTAGCTATAAAAGCTCCAAAGGCTGGTCTATAGGTATAATTTCTCCATTCATTTATATGCTTTAATTATGTAAAAGTAGGACCACAGCCATAAGCATCATTAAAAAGGCACAGAAGGAGCCTAGTTGACTGATAAAGGCTGCTTCTGAGCTTTCCCATGTTTCTGGGAGTAGTAGGAATGCAGCATATGGAAATATTAAGAGAGACCACAGGAGGGGATCGCTACCATGTGACAGGACTTTCTAAAAGTTGAATAACAAAGCTACTACAGAAATGGTAACATGTATGATCACAGAAAGACATAAGTGAATATGATACTATAAAATTCAGGCACAGGTATAAAAAGCAAATAGAGTACTATGGGTTTTATACTTTACTTATCTGTATTTTTCTCTTATTCAATAAAATACTCGTAACAGCTGCTACTTTCTTCCTTAAAACTGCAAATCTGGGCTGGGCATGGTGATGCACACCTGTAATTCCAGCATTTTGGAAGGCTAAAGCAGAAGGACCCCAAGACTCTGTCTCAAAATAAAAATTAATAAAAAAAAAAAAAAAAAAAGCTGGGTATGTTGCACACACCTGTAATGCCAGAAACTGGGAGACCAAGGCAGAAGGACTGTCATGAGTTCATGAGTTCATGAGTTCAGGGCCAGCCTACGCTACATACTGAGTTCAAGACCAGTCTGAACTACATAGCAAGATCCTGTCTCAAAAAACTTAAAAAATGGCCACGGATATAGCTCAGTGGTACAGTGCCTGCCTGGCAAGCATAAGGTCCTGAGTTGAATTCCTGGTACCCCACCTCCACCAAAAGGGTCTGGGATGTAGCTTTGTGCAAAAGATCTCATTCAATCCCAGCACCAAAAAACAAAACAAAAACGTTAATTACATGTCTGGCTCAACCGCCCCACCGCACCCCCAATACTGGGGGTCAAACCCAAGACTGGCTGACTAACTTTCTTTTCTGTCCCTGTTTCTTTTCGTTTCTCTCTCTCTTTCTTGAGACAGGATCTCACTATGTAGTCCAGGCTACCCTTCAACCCACTGTGTAGCCCATAGAGCCTTCAACCACCCTGCACCAACCTTCCTGCAGCAGCCTTCCAAGTGCTGGGACCATAGGTGTGTGCCATCACAGCTGGTTTCATCATATCTTGCGGATGAGAAAATTAAGACTTAGCTAGGCACAATGGTACAAGTGCAGGCAGACCATAAGTCCAAGGCCAGCTTGGACAACTTAGTGAGTCTCTGTCTCAAAATTAAAAAGGGCTGGATAGTATATCACTTCCCTAGCAGGCACACAGCCCTGGATTCAATCCTAAGTACCAAGGGAGGGGCGCTGTAATCTCAGCACTTGGGAGGCTGAAGTAGGAGGATCACCACCAGTTCAAGGCCAGCCTGAACTACATAGTGAGTTTGAGGACAACCTGGACTACACAGTGAGACTCTCCATTTCAAAACACACACACACACACACACACACACACAGGGAAAAAAAAAAAAAAAACCAGAACAAAACAAAAAATCCCCAGCATCACACACAACATGAAAAGAAAATGAGGCTTAAGGAATGCAAATAAGTTATCTAAGTAAAGTTAATATGAGGTCCAATGGCAATTCAACCTATAGCCTAGAAAAGCCATAATTCCTGTTATTTCCCCAAGCTAAATGTTACATTACAGAAACTCCACTAAGGTAGGATAGAATATACTTCCTACTTTGTAAACCAGCAGGATAAAAAAGGAGAAGGAATTTTAATCCAGATGCTATGGTAACTGGATCAGTTAGTATAAAAACTATTATGTATGTCTAGCTTTCAATATGCTCCAGGAATAAGAGCTTAGCATGGCGATGCAGACCTGTAATCCCAGCCTTCCAAGTGCTGCAGTTACAAGTGTGCACCACCACGTCACAGTTTCAGTTTTTTCACAATAAAGTAGGAGAAATTTTTGGTTTGAAGAAGTCCATGCTAGAAAAGTAAATTCCTGAGGACACTGAAGCGGACAAGTGTCAAGAATACTCAGTACATCAGCCAGGCGAGGTGGAGCACACCTGTAATCCCTACACTCAGGAGGCTGAGGTAGGAAGATCACTGCGAGTTCAAGACCAGCCTGGGCTACAAAGTGAGGTCAAGGCCAGCCTGTACTGCACAGCAAGACCCTGTTTCAAAAAGGCAAAAAAAAGAATGCTCAGTACAGCACTCAGGAATCTGAGGTAGAAGGATCACAAGCTCAAGGCTGGCCTGGACAATATACAGAGACCCTATTTCAAAACACTGAGAAAAGGCCAGACGTGGTGGTGCACCCCTGTAATCCCAGCACTCTCCCAGCATTGAGAAGGCTGAGGCAGGAGGATCGTTGCGAGTTCAAGGCCAGCTTGGGCTACAAAATGAGTTCAAGGCCAGCCTCCACTGCATAGCAAGACCCTATCTCAAAAAGACCAAAAAAAAAAAAAAAAAAAAAAAAAAAAAAAGAGAGAGAAAGAGAGAGAGAGAGAGAGAGAGAGAGAGAGAGAGAGAGAGAGAGAGAGAGAGAGAGAGAGAGAGAGAGAGAGAGAGGAAATAATGCTCAATATGACTCACCCATTCCGGTCATATTTCTTGAATACTGGGAAAGCCTCCAGAGGGTCTCCAAGCTGGGCAAGGAAAAAGAAGAGTAACACAGGTGAGCAGAAGTGTTAGCTCTGCCCAAGACCCCTGCTGTCTAGGAACAGGATACTGTAAGGACTCATGACAGGAGGCCCCAGAAACAGTCCTCATAAGGTCTCCATCTGCCTTAGCTCTGAAATCACACAGACGTAGGAGGTTTAACGAGGAGGCCCAAGAGAGTTAAGTTTAGCTTCATTTGACAGGATGAGAATAGATTTTATCAGTTCATGGGCACAATACCTGCCGCTAACCTAAAGAGGCCACATGGTACCTTTGAGCACTTCTGGGAAAAGCTCTCTACTAATTTCATCTGTTCAAAACCTCAACAGAAAATCATGTCCCTCAACTGGAACCTTATAGATGTGGAACATTTACTGTAAGTGAGCTAAAAGAATAACAAAAAGTGAGCTAAGGAATGAGGGCAGGAAGGATGGCTAGAATTTCTTAGGTTCAGTTCTCCCATCTGGTGTCAATTCACAGCTACTCCTCCCTTGACTACAATCTTTGAGACCAGGCCATGATATCCCCTCATTCCCAGCACAGCCTTTAGTATTTCATGGGTAATCAATAAGTATCTGAAGGAATGAAAAAAAAACTGTATATGTTTTATCAGAGGGGTTTCCTCCCCAAAACTATCAGTAAGAGAAGAAGCCACTTCTGCTGAAATCCACATTTCCCAGAACACCTGGACGAATAGCTGGCACCTCCTCCCAACTTCTCTGCTGTAAGCTGCAAGAGGCCTGGGTAGGTAGTGTCGCAATTCTGCCACAGGGTGGAGCTAAAAGAAATCAAATTAAAAACCGAGTTGAGGTTCCAAGAAGCAGGGACTGGAAAGCAGAGTCACCCTGTTGGCGGCATCCACTTTGGCACAGACGGCATCCATGGCTGCACGTTCCTCCAAGCGCTTCTGCTTCTTCTCCTTTGCTTTGCTTGACTTTCTCTGCAATAGGGAAAAATAACACTGGCTAGTAAGGCTCTGGCCTACCAAAGTCTTGACTTTTCTCTTTGAGGAACTAAAGAGGCCCAGCATCCAAAGATATGGCCCATCCAGGCTGCCACGCACGGTGTGTGAACTATGCAAAGACACTGTTTCCCATGTTGTGAGCCTTCCTGAGTTTTACTAGATTTCTCGGCTTTCTTTCAGGAAGTATACTGATCCTGCTGACCTCAGGTCACCCGGAGAACTCAGAGACCTGACAATGCCCCCAGTGAACCTGGGTCCAGCAATGACAAATATTTACTCATTTGCCACTTCATAAAAAGAAACACCCAATTTCAAACCCATTTAGGCCAGCTTTCAGGGAGACGATGGCATCTGAGATAGGCACTGACAGCTGTTCCTAAGTACAGTGTAAGTTTACGCAGTCTTTTGTGTGGCTTCTAACCACAAGAGACAAAAAGATCTGGTCAAGGGCAGCCCTGTGGGATCTGAGCCTCACTTCTAAACAAGAACCAGGGTGCTCTGGCTTAAGGGTACGGACCCATTCCGCCAAAAGTCCTGCTCAGCCAAGGCTAACAAATGACAGGCACATCATGCACTTAGCAACAAAAGCAGACCAGAGGGCCCCAAGGGGTTCATGTCAGGCCACAGGCAACGCTACCACATGGTCAACAAGAAGAAACTCCAGGCACACAGGTAGCAGAGGTGGGGCAAAGGAAGGTCCCTGCACTGAGGGACAAAACAGTAAGTTGTCCACAAATGCACCTAGATCACATACTGTTTTGAGGCTAACATGGGTTTTCCTCAAGCCTAAACAGACTCTCTCACCCTCTGGTAAAAAGCTAGTAACAGGAAAAGAGCCAGGCTCTGGAAACTGACAGACTTCATCCAAACCATTTCTGCTCTCCACTCTCCCTGCAGGTCCTAGGACAGAGCAGAGCCTTTTTCTGAGCCTCCTTCCCTGATATGCAAGTGAAGATCCTAATACCTCTTGAGTGACATTAGCCCTGAGAGGCTCATACAACCAGTACTCAATAAATGACAGTTCTCATTCTCACTTCCAAGGAGAAACAAGCAGGCAGAAGTGCTGGCCTACCCAGTCCTGGCTCCCAAAGAAAAAGGCAAGTAGTTCTGTTTCTGCCAATGGTATGGCCTCTTGTGATCCCTTACCCTCCTCTCCAAGAGCTCACTGGAGAGAGGTCTGACAACTCCCGATTACAGCTTTGCTTTGCTCTGGCACTGGCCCCAGGAAAGAGCATGCAGAGCAATTAACATTCACATGAGTTGAAAACCCAGCTGCTGGGAAAGTTTCTCAGGATAAATTCTACCATCAATTTTTTTTTTTTTTTTTTTTTTTTTTAAATACTAGAGATTGGACCCTGGACTTTCCCACTGAGCTATATTATATCCTCAGCCCTTTTTAATTCTGAGATAGGGTCTCCCTAAGTTTCTAAATTGCCCAGGCTGGGCTCAAACTCCTGCCTCAGTTACTCAGAGTACTGTGATTACAGGTGTGCACCACCATTCCAGGCTGCCCTTGATTTTCTTTTCTCTTCTTTTTTTTTGGTATCAGGAATCGAACTTAAGACCTTGCGCTTGCCATGCAGGCACTTGTGCTGCTGAGCTATATCCCCGACCCATGCCCTTGATTTTCCAACGAATAACACTTTAATTCCTATTTCAAATAACTAGGAGGCAAAACAGAGTTCAGAGGGCTGGGGATATCGCTCAGCAGCATAAGCGCCTGCCTGGCAAGCGCAAGGTCATGAGTTTGATTCCTGGTACCAAAAAAAAAAAAAAAAAAAAAAAAAAACAGAGTTCAGATACCAGAACTTACATGGATTACTCTTATAGGCACAAATTCTACAAGCACCAGCTAATAACTACCTTCTGGCTGAATGCCATGCTTCCTAGAAGGGATAAACAGAAGAAAATAGATGGTCTTCACAAAGCAGCACTCTAGACACACAACTGCCCTCTCTCTGCCACCATTAGGGTATTTTGGGGGCGGGTACCAGGAATCAAACTCAGAATCTTGTGCTTGCCATGCAGGCACTGTACCACTGAGCTATATCCCTGGCCCCGCTATTAGGTTTTGTTTTGTTTTGTTTTGTTTTGAGACAGGGTCTTGCTATGCAGTTCAGGCTGGCCTTGAGCGCACTGTATAGCCCAGGCTGGTCTCGAACTCGCAACAATCCTCCTGCCTCAGCCTTCCGAGTTCTGGGATTACAGGCGTGCACCACCACGCCCAGCCCCACTATTAGGTTTTATAGCTTTCATTTTTTTCCTCTGGGAATTTAGGTTTCAGGTCAACAGTGACATTCACAGCTTGTAAAGTACTTTCACAAACATGTTCAATTCTCAGGGCAGAAACCATCACCTCTTCTTCACACATTAGGAAACCAAGGCTCAAAGGGATGACGTGACCCACTCAGAGTTCCCTGCACCAAGGACTCCAGGGAGACTCAACCATAGGGGCTGGATCACAGATCCAGTGTTTGTTCCACCACCCCCACTGTCTCCCAGTGGGAGAGCCCACATGTAGTGTGCCGACTTCACTCAATCTTTCAACAAAGACCTTCTCACATCCTGCCAAAATAAGGCCAGGGGCCTCAGAAGCCCTTACACAACCACGCAGCAACTCACTTCTCAGTGCCCATCCACCTACTGATGGCTTTCCAACGCAGTGCCACCCACCCTAGGCCCTACCCTCTGCACTGAGGCAGAGGTAGGGAAAAAGGAAATCCCGGAGAGAAAGCCTCCAGGGCAGGATGATGGGGCATAAAGAACATAGACTTTGGCATCAACCCGACCAGGCCAATGTCCCTCCTGCCACCCTAGCACGACTTGTGAGAGCAACTGGATCTGCAGGAAGATGAGAACAGAAATGCTAAGCTCATGCAAGAGCTGCACTCTAAGGACAGGTCAGAAGCCTGCATACCTGCACAGTAGATTCCAGCTCGTTTTATCCAACCCAACAGCCTACCCTCTTTTAACAATATGGAACAGAAGAACTGAAGGCACTAGAAGACAAGTGAGACTCCCAGGACCCAGAAAGCACACGTTCCCTTCACAGTATCTCATTTCCGAGCACCAAAAGTAATTCCTAAGCACAAGCAGGAGGAGGGCTAGCCTGGGCCTCCTGGAGATTTATGGGCTCACTCATGTGGGGGAACTGTTGAGTGAGGCAATCCTCAGACTGAGGCTTGGAGCTGCTATGGCCTGAGATTAAGATAATGAAAGCACCCCTTAAGCACTTCAATGCCTACATAGCGTAGGGGATAGGAAGAAAGCTGCAGCAGGCTGTGTCAGACAGGCAGGGGATTTCCCTCAAACTCAGCAAGTACTAGGAAGAGTGGCTTCCTACTGTTCCAATTAGCTTTGCCTCTGCCTTATGGAGGTAAGGCTGTCCTGTAGGGACACAAGAAAGCTCTCCTAATTAAAATGGGAAATAAGCACAGTGAACAGCAAAGCTCATTGTGGCTAAGTGTCTTTCCCAAGGGAGCTTTATATAATAAAAAGAGCATGGGCTTTTGAGTCAAGAGACCTGGATTTGATTCTCAGCTCTTTCATTTAATAGCTATGTGACTTTAGGCAAGTTACTTAAAATCTTTTGGGCAAGTTACTCAATTTCTCTGAACCTCAGTTTCCTCATTCATGAAATGGAGCTAGGGCTGAAATGTAGTTCAGTGGTAAAGCACTTGCCTAGCATGCATAAAGTTCAATCCCAGTACTACAAAAACAAAACCCACTAAAAAACACGGCTAACTATACTTATACCAATAGCCAAGAGATGTTGTAAGGACAGAAGGTATAATGCACTACATATAAAAGTTCACGGATTGTTGTGAATTCAAGGCCAGTCTGAACTGTGTAGTGAGATCCAGTCTCAAAAAGATTTAAAAAAAAAAAAAAATTAATGGAAACAGTTTTGTGTTTTTGAGACAGAGATATGCTATGTAGTTCAGGCTAGTTTTTGACTCATAGTGATCCTCTTGCCTCAGTCTCCTGCATGCCGGGATTATAGGCATGCACCACCATGCCCAGCACAATTTTTGTCTATGAGGACCCATTAGTGCCAACACATTCAAAAAGATAATCTTGCCTGTAATCCCAGTACTCAGGAGGCTGAGGCAGGAAGACTGTTGTGAGTCCAAGGCCAGCCTGGGCTACACAGTGAGTTCAATGCCAGTCTGGACTGCATAATGAGACCCTGTCTCAAAAAGACAAAAAAAAAAAAGATGATCTTTCTAAGTCAGCCCAAATACATACACCCACTTCTTTGATGAAAGATCTGAGACACAGAAAGGCTGAGTAACTTTTAGCGTCACAGAGGCACTGAACAGAGTTCTCAGAGGTCTTCACACAACCTTCCCCACACTGAACTCTGAACTCCACAAAGACGAGGCTGTACCTGATTTATTTGCTCATGTATATTATGCTCAGCAAATAGTAGGTACTTTGTTCCTATCTGTTGAATGAATCATCCAAGATTCTAATCTAGGTTTGAACTGTAAAGTCCATGTTCTCTCCAGTACATCTCTTATGGTGCTTCTAAAAATTTGCTATTAAATGTTGTTTCCATCAGGTGTGGTGGCACATGCCTGTAATCCCAGCACTCTGGAGGCTGAGGCAGGAGGATCGTTGTGAGTTCGAGGCCAGCCTGGGCTACAAAGTGAGCTCAAGGCCAGCCTGAACTGTATAGCAAGACCCTCTCTCAAAAAGACAAAAAATAATAAAATAAAATAAAATAAAATAAATGTTGTTTTTACAAGCAGGTATGAAATTCCCCCCGATACTATTCTTGTCAAAGCTGTAACTCCACCCACAGTTTGACGGGAAGGAGTCACAAAGAAAAATCGAATGGTAGAAGGAGGTACCTTCTACAAAAGGAATTTGACATCTCTTATGTTTCCAGTGTCGATGCCTTCATCCCATGTGGTACCAGTACCAAGAACTTGGTGAAGGGAGACAAGATTTAACTTTTTTTTTGTATGGGGAATTGAACTCAGGACCTTGTGATTGCCAGGCAGGTGCTGTGCTGCTGAGCTATATCCCCAGCCCCAAAGATTTTTCTAACTTCTTGAAGACAACGCATACATAGCAGTTGGGGTGAAAGAACTTTGAAGTGAAAGAAGGTGATACATCTGATGCCACCCTCTCAGCCTGAGATCAGGAGGAAGGCCCTCTGCCTGAGAGTGACCACTAGGAATGATGACTTCCTGCCATCTAGATGGGGTGTTCCACAGTTCCCACTGATGAGCAACAAGGGTAATGACAGGGTTCCAGTTCTGATTCAGGAAAGATAATTCAAGACTCTCTGTTGCTGTTTAATGCAAGAAAAGACTTTGTAGAGACTGTTCTGAGAAACACATCTATAAAGTATGAGTAATAAGACTGGGACCAATGGAAGCAAGGTTCCACATTATCTCTGAGGCCTGCTATTTCAGCTCAACCAATGAGGAAATACTGATCCAGAATGGCATGTGACGCTTCTTGTTTGGGGCTTGGTCTGCACTGACTGACAGTAGATGGTTATTGAGTGACACTGAAGATACAGGTTTCATTTACACAGCTGAGGTCTGTGACCTTTCACAGAAACCTACATTAAAAATGACACATCTTTAGATTTGCTTTCTCCCTATGAAGTATACAGCTTCCAAAATTCCTGGTTGAAGCAACAAATTTGCGGGACGGGTCCTGGGGACTATAACCAGGTCCTCCCATACAGTAAGCACACACTTTACCACTGAGCTACATCTCCAGGCCCTGAATGTTCGTTTGACAGATTACCTAAAGTTTTTTTGACATGAGTTAGAAAATTATGCCGGGTGTGGTGGCGCATGCCTGTAATCCCAGCACTCAGGAGGCTGAGGCAACAGGACCGTTGTGAGTTCCAGACCAGCCTGGGCTACAAAGTGAGCTCAAGGCCAGCCTCAACTGCATAGCAAGACCTGCTCTCAAAAAGTCAAAAAAAAAAAAAGAGAGAGAATTATTTTTGTCTAACAAGTTTATTTGTTCCCTCAATACAGATTTGAGAGAAAAAAAAAAAATCTAGGTTTGTAAGAGTAAGGACAAACCCATAGTTAAAAATAGCACAGACCTATTTTATAACACTAAAGTGAAGGCTGAGGGCCAGGAATACAGCTCAATGGTGTAAGAGCCTGCCTGGTAAGTGCAAGGTCCTGAGTTCAATTCCTGGTACCAAAAAAAAAAAAGTGAAGGCTGAGAATACAGGCAAAAATATCACCCCGACTACTCAGGAAGCACCTCATTAGCTGTTTACATCCATTATCTCATTTAATGTTTACTACTACTCTAGGGGGGAGGTATCATCATCCTCATTACATAGGTGAGGAAATTCAAGTCCAGAAAGGCCACATCACTGGCACAGTATGATGCTAGCAAGTGAAGATGGAGCTAGCACTGAGGTATCTCTGGCTCCAAGTCAGGGCTCCCTACTGGTGGTGGAAATTCCACATAAATGCGAGTATGTATAGCAAGGCCAGTTGTCTTTCTAGGAGAGTGAATAGTATTTCTCAAGCTGGAATTTAGTAAAGTGAGTGAGCTGATATGAAACTACTTCTGCCCAGCCCTGTATCTGCACATGCCAGGAAAAGGCACCGAAATATCAACACCTCCCTGATGCCAGCACCGAACAGGTGGTCAGTATCCACCGAAGTTGGGGCCACGCCCAGTCCCTGCTCCCATCCTCCCTTCTCACCTGCACAGCTTTCCCCTAGCAAAGCCACCTGAAGTGCTAAAACTGGTAACTCCTAACAAGAAGCCTTTCATTGCAAACAGGAGGCGAAGCAGCAGGCCTCTGCGGGAGGGAAGACCCGGTTTTACGTATCAGGAGAAAGAGTCCGGCAGAGAGGTTTCAAGCTGCTGGGAACACCGGTCACCCGAGCAGGGCAGCGCAAGCGCCGGGATTCAAAACAACGAAGCGGAGTCTGGCGCCCCAGTCACACACTGCATGACCTTGGACAGGCGCCCTCTTTCCCCGGGCCTCAGTTCCCTCCAAAACAGGTTGGCCTGGATGAGGGGCACCACGGGGTCGGTGACAGACGGGTGACGGCGACCCGGGGAAGCAGGGGGGAAACCTCAAGGACCGCGGGGGCCGAGCACGCCGCCGGGTGGGGAGTCCGCGAGGCGGGAACCGGCCGGCGCGACGCGAACGGTGGGGGAGGGGTTCCGGGGGGAGGGACCTCGGAGAAGGGGCTCCCTGGGTGTAAATGAGCTAGGCCGAACGTGGGGTCCCTTGGAATGGGGGAGTCGGGTCATGTGGGGGCCAGAGGTCACGTGAGGCCAGAGGGGTCGGGGTCACGTGAGGGGGGCTCGAGGAACAATGGGGGCCAAGGAGGCAAGGATAACAGAAAGAGCCCCTGAGCCTCCCGTCTCCTCTCACTGCCTCACTCACCCCCATGGCGCCGGCGGCGACCCTCGGCTCCTTCACACACTTGCCAGCAGGGAGGCGGCAACGGCTGCGGCAGCAACGGCGGCGACACCAAAGCGGCAGGCCCCACACTGCGCATGCGCTTCGCCGCTACCCGCGCGCCCGGGCGGGCAACGCGCAGGCGCAGATCAGGGCCGAGGGGCAAGTGGGGAAACGGCGCGCAGGTGCAGCGCCAGCCGTGCTGCCCAGGGTCTCCAAAGAAAAAGAGGCGGGAGGCGAGGCGGGGCGGGGCGTCGCGCTGGGAATGACGCATTAGCCCAAGCCCCGCCTCAAGAGCAGCTTTGTCTGTAGCTATAGCAACGTGGCCGGAGGCGCGCCTCAGCTACAAGCCGCGTGCTTTCGGGTAGCAGGGGGTGAGTGCTCGCCACGTTCACTGAGGACAAGTTACGTGCCCTCTGAAATATGGGGCTTCTCCTCAGCACTCTTGAGCACGCAGGACGTCTTCGAAAGCGCTCCCAAATTCTAGAACTTGACTTTTGCAACTTCTTTTTTAACCAGAGTCCTGTTAGTCATTCATCTGCCTTGTAGCCATTCATTCTCCTTCCACTCATAAGCTTGCTTACCCAAAGTTTACCGTGCTGAGCCCAGGAGCACAGAGAGTACCAGAAGCCATCGTAGTACAAAATTTCGCTGTTTAGCCGGCGTGGTGGCGCACGCTTGTAATCCCAGCACTCAGGAGGCTGAGGCAGGAGGATCCTTACAAGTTCGAGACCAGCCTGGACTACGAAGTGAGCACAAGACCAGCCTGAACTGCATAGAGAGACCCTGTCTCAAAAAAAAATAAAAAGAATTTTGCTGTTTAGAGGCAATTGTTGGAGAGAACTGTTAAAAGTAGCACTATTAAAGTGAAACTTAAGGTGTCCTGGGTGGGATTCATTTCACTCTATCCCAACAGCCGCCTGGAGTGTGACCCCCAACACAACCTGCCTGGGAATCACCTGGGGAGTGTGTGCTGCGTAGAAGCGCGCCCCTCCCCACTACAGTTTCAAAGGTCGAGCTTCACAGACTTTGTCAGATTTTTTTTTTTTTTTTTTTTTGTCTTTTTGAGAGGGTCTCTTTATGCAGTTCCGGCTGGCCTTGGGCTCACTTTGTAGCCCAGGCTACTCGCAAACATCAAACGATCCTCCTGCCTCAGTCTCCCCAGTGCTGGGATTACAGGCATGCGCCACCATGCAGGGCTTTGTCAGATTTTTATCTTTGTCCCATTTTAAGGGCTCAGTCTAGTGTTGACAGCGACTTGGTACTGTTCCAGACAATAACCTAAATAGGTAATAAACATAGTATGTTAAATGGTAAAGGTTCAAAAAAATGGTAGAGGTTCTATGCAGGAAAATAAAGCAAGGGAGGAAGACAGGAAAGGCAAGTGTTTATAGTTAGTGTAACTAGGATGCTAGGGAGAAAACAGGAAGTGATATTTGAGCCAAGTTCTAAAAAGACAGGGAGAAACTGTTCAGAATATCTGGGAAGAGGGCATTGCAGGTGAGGGCACAGCAAGTACAATCTCCATCCACCCCCATGGGAGCACGATTGGATGCTCTTTTAAAATTTGTTTGTTTTTTAAAACAGTGTCTCTCTGTGTAGTCCAGGCTGGCCCTGAACTCACTATGTCGTCCACACTGGCCTGGGACTCACAGCAATCCTCCTGCCTCTGCCTCCGGAGTGCTGGAATTATAGGTGTGTACCACTATGCTCACCTGTTTGCATCTTTGAGGAACTGCAAGAAGCATATTGTGAGTCTGGTGTGGTGGCACATAGCAATAATTCCAGCACTCTGAGAGGCTGAGGCAGAAGGATTGCAAGTTCAATCCAGCCTGGGCCACTTAGTGAATTTCTGTCTCAGAAAAACCCCAATTTTTAAAAAAGGCTTCTGGGTTCAATCTCCAGTAAAGAGAAGGAAGAGGAGGAAAGGACAAAGGAGAAGAGGCTAGCGGGGCTGGGTCAGCAAGAAGTTGAAGAAGGTGCCACTAGACTGGCAGGGAGTGGATTGTTTACAGCTTTGGGTTTTGAAAGACCTGAGGACCTATGGTGAGTGAGGATGCTGTAAGGAGTTTTGAGTGAAGGAGAGGCACGTGGCTTATCCATCTGGAGGGTGCTGGGCTGCTAGTGAGATGAGTGTGGGGTGAGACCACAGAAGGCAGTCATGTATGGGCAAGAAGCGAGGACCCTGTGGCTGATGGCAGTGGAGGAGCTGAAGGTGTCAGGATGCAATGCGTTTTGAAGGTAGAGCCAATAGGACTTGCTCCCAGGTTGGTAGAGAGTAGTGCTGGTGAACCTAAGGCAGACCTATCACTGTGGGCTGTTTGTATTGAAAGAAAGTGCACCGTCGCTGGTGTAGGGTGTAAGGGAAAGAGAACACTCATGATACCTTCGAGGCTCTTACTTGAGCTGCTGGAAAAATGGAGAGGCTTGGACTAAGATTCAGATGATTTTGGAAGGACCTGTTTAGGGGGGTGCTGGAGTAGGGCAGGAGGATTAGGACTTGAGTTTGGAAACCAGGTGTGGTGGTGCACACCTATAATCCCAGCA